GCCTTGTAGGCACCGGAATAACTTGTTTCTCCCACACCAAATCTCCTCAGAACTTCTTATTTCAACCAATAAGACACATACATAATTTTCCTTGCAATAACTAAAACATAAATAAATTGATTCTAAAATTTCACAAAATATCCTATATTACTGTATCCAACAAAAAACCCTAATGAGGATAAATTCAGTCTTTTAGAAAATAACCAAATTATCATATATAGTGCAAAAAACGGTTTTAAGACTTTAATTATACTATAATACTATTTTTTTGTCCAAAATTATTTTCTAGATAATTAAAATGGTGCACTTTTCAGAATAACAAGTTATAAAATTTTTCGGAAACCCTCTAAATGTTTAGAAATATTGCCTCTACAACATACCAAAAGTTATACGACAAAAATTTTGTAAGTGTAAAATTATCATTATTTTTATTAGAGAAATAAAAATTTAATCAGAAAAATTCAAAAAAAACTTAGTATTTTTTGAAAACTGAGATAGACAAAATATCACCAGTCTCAATCCGGATAACTTTCAGAACTGGGTCGTCAATTGAAAACGATCCGAAGTAGCCCAAAACGAGCTTTCTCCTTCTAGGAATTCTCTCTTCTTCTCTCTAGTGTCAACTGTCCAAACAAACGAATGAATGAATAGTTGAAAAATATATTTTAAATATTAAATTCAACCTAGTGCTGTGGTGCCATGCACTATGCGCCACGCGACACCATCCAAGGCACTCCTTCAGACAGCCCATAGTGCCATAGCATAGCCCCTAGCATCGTCGTGTTGAATTGAATTGCCAAAAACCCAAGCGCGCTAGTGCCACGGTGCCACCGAATCCAGTGTCGCAGCGCCCTAGGGAAAAACTTTAGATTTTTTTAATATGCAAATAGACTCCCGAGACTTGCTTTAAAACACACAAATTCTTACATGCACCAAAAATATTTTCAAACATACGAAGAAGGGTCCAAATGCAAAAATTTAACAAGCTATCTTATTCATATTGAGTCAGAATAGGTTAAACTGAATACTGAACCTGAGAGTCTTACACTAGTAAGTGAATTAATCATTCAAGCATGTAGAGTTCAAATCTGTGAAGTTTATACACATCCTCCTCTTCTCTTTGCTTTTCTTATTTAAAAATGAAAGCTACCAACAAAGATATTAAACCTCCAAGACCAATTTTATAGTAAGAACTAATAAGCTTCTTGAATTCTTATTTAACGGTCTTAAGACAATGTGGCTTACTTCAATAAAGCCAACAAAAAATGTTATCCACATGAATATATTCAAGCACAAAATAAAAATGTATGTATAAAAACTATTTAAAAGAAACAATTCTATTTTTCTTCTAACATTACAACAAAGAATGTTAAATGGTACCTTTCATATCACAAGATTGCTTGCCTAATTCTATTTTGCTTCCTTTAAGCAAAATGGATTGCTTTCACTAACTTTTAAAGATCATTTAGCAATTTTAATTAGTGTGTAATTAACAGATTTTGCTATAATTATCTATTAAAATGCGACTAAATAATTATTTTTAAAATGCTGCTTTACATTAATTAGTATGTAATTACCTAATATTATTAAATCATTCTTTAAATTCATTATTTAATTGTACAATTAAGAAGATTTGATTGTTGCTTAATGTTTTTATTAATTCCAATTAAATAATTTTAAGATGTACTTTTTCTTCTCTTTAGAAAATAAATTTCACTATCCTTTGAATATTATTTTGGTATATATCACCTTGCATAGTCTTTTCATCTAACTCAATATCATTTCATTGATTATGATTTATGATAATAAATATTTTTCGCAGAATAAGTATTATTAGTTTTTAAAATAATTTTAATTATTTATTAATTTATCAAAAAATAAAAAAACGATCAAATGACATATAGAAACTCTTTCAATACTTAAAATTCTTGAAACTTGCATATAATTAATCTTAGGGTTCGTTTGAGATGACTGTATAACTTTCTATAAAGATAATAAAGCTCTTGTAAAAAAAGCAACTTTTTTGAACGCTGTTGTAGAAAACAACTTTCTAGCACATAAATTTCTTAAAAATAGTGACCAAACAAAACGATATGATTGTGATCTGAAAAACAAAACGGTAAGAAAACTGTTACAAACGAAACCTTAATAACATTAATAAAAATGGAAGTTTTTTATCTAATATGGCATAATATCAAAATCCCAATCATTTTTATACTTTCCATGTATGAATTCCAGGTAAGATAGATCATGAAGAGAGAGAGAGAGAGAGAGAGAGAGAGAGAGAGAGAGAGAGAGAGGAGTCAAATTGAAGGGATTATAAGTGCAAGGAGTGCAACACAAGCTAAGAAGGGGAGGGGGGCCATCATATCATATGAATAAGGCTCAAACAACCTTCGGTTGTGCAGTCTCTTTACCCTTTAGATTTCTTTTCCTTTTCCACTTCATAGCCGTTGGAACTATTATTATTGCCATATTTATTATTTATAGCTTAGTTTTTGGGTCATTTCGCAGCCAATGAGATTTTGGAAAGGTAAGCAGTTTGCTTAGCTAGTTTAGTAGGGTTTATGCACAAATGGGGTGAAAGGAAACTAAAATAATCTCCATTTGGTGAGTTGGTGCTAAGCCACTACCATTCCACTATATGAATTATATGTGGTGATTCAGACTGTGCTTCATTATGAGAGCTCAGCTTTTCCACATTTCTCATTGTACCTAACAAAACATGTTTAAACAAACCCTAATGGAAAAGAAGAAATTTGGAACTTTTATGTGAATTATCTATATTAGAGGAAGCCATTGTTGTCATTCCATGTAATGAGAGAGAAATTCTTCTATGGTGGAAGAATGATAGAAATGTATACATCATTTTTATAGAAAGAACGATACCTTACTTGCATTATTGACGAGGATTATTATAAGGAAGTGATAGAGTTTGATGCTATAAATAATGAGGAAATAGGAAGAACTAGTCACTAAGTTCTAGACTTATTAATATTTCATGTTGTTAGGCAGAAAATGGGTAGGCAACCTTAGTATTTCATGTTGTAACATGGGAGTGAAACTTAATTGACAGCGTAAGTTCTAAGTGGCCTGTTACTAGGGTCATCACATCCTTAAAGCTATTGAGAAGCTTGATATGGCACTAAAATGCTTGTGGTGATAAGTTGTTGGGATCCATTAACTTATTCAATAAAGGATCATTTAGAATCTCCAACAAGAATAACGAGGAGCTAGTCTTATGGTTAATGGGTGACTGGTGCCAAGAGGCCTCTCCAAAGGAGCACTTACTTCACCAATCAATAATCAAAGGGACTTGGATAACAATGATGATCTAAGTTTTTAGAGTTATTGAAGATGATGACACACAAAAGATTTAAGTAATTTGGTTTGTCAATATATATTGACTCCAAGAAGGAGGAGATGAATTCATTATTCTAAAGAAAGAAGAATGTGCTAGCTCTTAAATATCCCATCTCCTAATCTATCCAGATTGTAACAATTTTAGAGTAAAATCTCAAAATCCTCAAGTTCTATAAGTCCAAAATCCCTTATAGCAAGAAAAGGGGTATTTATACCTGAAGTGACAATTTGAGATTTTGTTGAGGATGACAGTGAGGTGTAGGCTATGGGTTTCACTTTTAGTAGCGACGGAAGATGTGGTACACATGGATTAGTATTCATAATAATTGAAGTATCAATTTGAGCCTTTGTTAAGGTTGGCAATGTCATGTAGGCTATGAGAAATCAATTCTAATAGTGATAAATGATATAGTTTATGTGGTAAACTTGAAAAAGATTAGGTTCAAAGTGGCATGCATAGATTGATAAGATGACTAGAAAAAGTTTGGTTCGAATAATGACATGGAGACATGAAAAGAGTCATTATTGGATGATAAAGGATATTCATAACACAATGGCTTATCTATATGGGAAATGGCTATATAGCACCTTTTGGCATGAATCGACCAAGCAGAGATGATTGAAGGCATATAATGAGAAAAAAATGGAACTTTCTAGATTTTGAAGAATGCATAGTCGAGATAGAAGGATTGTTTCAAAATAAGATTTGGTGTGCATGTTATATTTAATTTTTATTTAAAATTATTGATGATGAATGACAATTTAAGCATGCATTTACTTATCTCAATAACAGTAAAACAATAGCTCCAACGGTTTGTGAATAATGTCTTCTTGAGTCACAATAATGCCAAGAAGGCATAACAATCAAAAGAAAAAAAAATCACGAATGGACCATGATCACTTCATTGCAATGCCGTAACAATGAAGAAATTTTGATCCTAAAAACTTTCTAAACGAATAACAACATCTAGTCACGAACCCAAATCGAGTCCCAACTCCTCCCATCAATATTGGTCCGAATGTCTTCTCAAATAGCCAAGAGGCCACCGCCGTCCACCGCACATCTTGATGCCTCCAAGCCCGATGAAGAGAGAGACAAATACCTAGCCACCATCTTGAACCACACCAACCCAATCCAATTCAGAGCTCAATCACCTAAACAATTAATAAAGCACTTTTGATCTCATTATATTTGCCCCACATAATTTTATTGAAATAAAAATCCTAATTGATTTATTTTCTTAAAAAATTTAATTAAATATTAATAAATTATAAAAAATTCAAAAAAATACAACTGCAAATTAAAACAAAATTGACATTTAGAGCCGTAGACGCGCAGTAGAAAATTAGAGAGGCAGTCCCGCGGCGAACTCCGCGGCTTCTGCCGACATTTTCCCAATCTACTTTCGCTTCTTACGTCTGCTATTTCAACGATACAATTCCCTTCCAGACTATCAAGAGAGAGAAAGAGTGAACATGGTGGGGGCCTACGAACCAGTAGAGATAGAAAGAGAGTACACAGGATTTAGAGATAGAGAGAGAAATATAGAAATGAGAGGGAGGAGACTTAAACATCACGACAGTTACAGCTGGGCTGGACAGCTAGCAATGAGAGAAGCAACCTCACCTACCGTAGCAACTTATAACAAATTGCATCAAACAGCACCACTACCGCTCCTCAATTACTCGTTCTGGTTTCCTTCCCTTCCCTTCCATTTTCTCTCTCTTCCTCCTCTCACGTTCTCCATCTTTTTTTTTCTCCCTTTTCTCTCTCTATCTCTTCTCCTCTTTTCTTATTACACTCTGCTCTCACTCCCTTTTAAGCCATCCCCATTGCCCCGCCCAGCTCCTCTTTATTTCACTTGAGCACGCATTCTCTCTCTTCCGTATTTGCTTCTTCTAACGGTTTCTCAGAGGTCAGCTGGATTTCGCTTCTATTTCCAGGTAGGGTTTCTGACTTCTCCACCAATCACTCGATCTCTTCTCACGCTTGGAGTTTGATCAGTGCGCTTGAGTTTAGGGTTTATCTGGCTTTCTGAGGGTTCTGATTTTGCCGTCACACGAAGTTTTAGGGTTTTGGAACATTTTGATTTCTGTTTTTGTTTCCTTTCTTTCGTAAAGATTTTCAGAGTTTCGGTGTTATTTGTTCGCGCATTCAGGTTCTTGTGATCGAATAGTCAATTGATTTTTAGGATATTTGGCTTCATTGATTCTGTTCTTCTTCTCATTTTAACTTCCTACAATTTTTTTTTTTGTGAATTTTGTTTTCTAGAAATTGAGAGTTGCAGAGCTCCGTTTCGTTTCCAGAGGTCCAATTTTCAAAAAATTTTCCACCGCGCGAAGTCTTTGGATTTCTGGAAATTTCAATTTCTGTTCATGTTTCTTTTCTTCGTAATTTGGTGGTCCAATTTGAAAATTTTCAAAGTTTTGGAGCCATTTATTAACCTAATCTCGTTATTGCGATGGCATTTTCCAGCCTTGTTTGGCTCTTTTTTGTCTTTTTTTAAATGTTAAATATATTCTTTTATTAATACATTTTTATGGGCATATAAAATGACATGTTTAACAGCTCATATTTTTATATTAAAAAAAAATAGTGTGGATGGATTTTCTTTTTTCTTTGAAAAATAAATTTATAAAATAATTTATATTTGAAAAATAAGAAACAATCATGATAATATAAAAAATAACCTTACCTGTTATGCGGTACAGGGCTTTGATTTCTGGAGAGAAAGGAAAGATAATGGCCATGAAAGCCTTCATGGAGCCCATGGGAACCGAATTAGTCTGCGAAGATCCTTTCGATTCCATTGATGATCTGCTCGATTTCCCCAATGATGACGATGCGCTCCCAATGGCAGAAGCTTGGGGCGACTGCGCTCCTCTCGCTCCGTCGCCGGCTCCGGCTCCGTCGTTGATGGCCGCAGGAAGCGGCGGCGGAATAAGTGTCGGCAGTGATGCCAGCGGACTAGATGGTCGCGCCGCGGCCGTCTCCGGCGTTGGGATTAGCTCAGAAAATGATGCGCTGGGTCTGGTAAGTCGTTATAGAACCCCTTTCAGAATTTGCTGAAATTTGAGAAAAAGTAAATTTTTTAAAATGAAGTAATTTTTTTTAAACTACTTTTGAAAAAAAGCTTTCTTTTTTAGAATAAAAAATTTAAAATTGTTTCCTTTTCATGAAATAAAACATCATACTTATATATTATTTATAATATTTATTTTTGGTTAAATATAACAATATATAGAATATGATAAAATTTAATAAATTGCCTTAATTTTACATTTAATTTTCCCAGCAAATTATATAATTCCCATGAAAAAAATCATAATTACAATGCTCTACCTTTCAAAACTTAATTTACTCCATATGTAAAATCTAAAATAATAATAATAATAATATTTTTATATTATCATCCCCAACTCCACCACTCCTTCGACGCCGGCCGCCAAACCGGAGAACAAAACCGCCTCTTTGTCCCGTTCCTCGAGCCCGATCTCCGTCCTCCTCCCCACCACCTCCTCCTCCTCTTCATCCTCCTCCTCCTCCAACTCCATCACCGACATCAGCCCACCGCCACCCCCTCCCGCCTCCGTCCCGGGCCGAGCCCGAACCAAACGCCCCCGTCTCCCATCCTTCTCCGCTCGCACCTTCATCCCCCCTTCATCGAATACCCCCATTTCTTCCCCTGCTGCAACCAAGAAGATGAAGAGGGATCTGGACTCCGTTCCATCAATGAGGAAATGTTCCCACTGCGATATACAGAAAACGCCCCAGTGGCGGGCGGGCCCGATGGGACCCAAAACGCTCTGTAACGCCTGCGGCGTACGGTACAAGTCGGGCCGACTGTTTCCGGAGTACCGGCCCGCGGCGAGCCCGACTTTTGTGCCGGCCGTTCACTCTAATTCCCATAAGAAAGTCGTGGAGATGCGGCTCAGGTGTACGGAGATGGTGGGGAAGAGCGGCGGCCGTGAGATTCCCGTGGCGGCGAAGAACTGTGACCTGCTTGAGTATATCAGGAGGCGAGACTGATAGTGCCTGCAATTGCACTCAATAGATCGCCGGTTGAACGGGTCTCGACCCGGCGGGTCGGAGAAACCCGATCCTTGATGGTTGTTTTGGTGGAAAAAAATTTTATTTTGAATATTCTGATCAAAATCAATCACCTGAGTTTCAAACTTTTTAAATTTATTTTGAGATTAATATTACATCAGAAAGAATTTGTGTGAAGATATTTTGATAAAAAAAAAATAATCAGAATGAGCTTTAAAGCTCTTTGTTCTGTCTTGAGAAAATTAAATTTATTTCAAAACAGATCAAAGAGCTTTAAAATTTATTCTGATTAAAAATAAGATCAAAATATCTTGATCTCATTTTTTTTCTATTACATTTATCTTAAAATAAATTTAAAATTTTCGAAGCTCATTTTCATCAAAATCTTGATCAAATATTCTATTATTTTGCGCTTCTCTTGATAATTTCTCTTGATAATTGTATTTTTTTTTTTCTAGTTTTGTACAGAGAAGCAGGAGGGAGAAGAGAGAAAAAGATCTAATATTTAGGAAGAAAAAGGTAGATTTATAAGGGAAAAATGATCCTTACTATTCAATTTAAATTTAATTTAGGATATAATATTTTTTTTTGAAGTTGCAAGGAAATTATTTTTTTATATAAAAATAATAATTTTCATTATTGATGAAACATCTTGCAGCTTTAAAAAAACATTTTATATTTCAAAATTAAATTTAAATAAGAATATCAAAAATACAATGGGGTTATTTTTTTCCCTTATTGATTAGATATGAAGGGATAGCATATTAAAAGGAAAAGGAGAATCAATGGGTGGGGGCTTCAGTTAGGTAAAATGAAGCTTGTATTCTTTTTGCAGATTGATTGATTGCTAGAAAATGGATTGAACTATTTGATTAATTTTCTTATTTTGCATTATTTTGTGTACCTTCTCTTCCATTTTTCTCCTTAATAATTACTAACTTTAATACTTTATTGTTGGAGAATCAATGGTTTAAAGCAAAATAGATAAATTTTTATATATTTTCATATTTAACATTTATTGATAAAATATTTAAAAATTGATATTATTGATTTTTTTATGTGATTTAAGATTTTAAGGGTTATAGAAATAAAATAAAAATAAAAATTTTAGATATGTAAATACATAATTAAAAGATTGCAAATTGGAAAGTTATTAGGTGATTTGAGAAAAATATTCTCTTAGTTGATAGCCTATGCTCCCAACTAATAGGTCAAGGTGAGCTAGATCATATTTAATATTTATTGATAAAATATTTAAAAATTAGTATTACTGAGTTTTTATGTGATTTAAAAGAAATAAAATTAAAATAAAAATTTTAGATATGTAAATACATAAGGGATTTTTATATACATAACACTTTAAAGTTTCGTATTTACTCATTTAACACTTAGGCAGGTATGTTTACCCGGTGTCCACACCTGGTTACGCTCGCGGCGTTGCCGCAGGCATGGCGCCCAAAGCACATCTCGCCGTTTATAAAGGCTGTTGGGCCGCTGGTTGCTTTGATTATGACATCCTCGCCGCCTTTGATGCGGCCGTCGCTGACGGCGTCAATGTCATCTCCCTTAGCGTTGGCGGCGTTGTCGTACCTTACTACCTTGACGCCATCGTCGTTGGCTCCTTCGCTTCGGTGGAGGCTGGGATATTCGTCTCGAAAAAATGGAGAAGACGAAGATCAAATCTGCTCTCGCGACGAAGATGCGACCAGTCTGCTAGTTAAGATAACGGAGTGGTAATTTAGATTAAATGAGGCGTATTTGAGTGGTAAGTATGTAAATAGTGTACTTTGGATGTTAGATAAGTAAATATAATAGTTTGAAGTGTTATGTATGTAAAAATCACTTTATAATTAAAATATTGCAAATTGGAAAATTATTAGGTGAATTAAGAAAAATATTTTGATGAATTCAAATGTTTAGATTAATTAAATTTTACATAATTTGATGCTATATTATGAAAATTTAAAAGATTGTTATGAAAAATGTCAGAAATAATTAATTATTTCTTACATTTTTTTATTTTTCAGTTGGATGAAAATTCGTGGATTGTTTCTGCTTGCAAATTAACTAAATTAAAAGGTTTGAAGTGGAAAAGGATTCTCCAATTATTGATATCGTGCTGATTGGATATATAGCATGACTTTTGGATCTGCCGCAAATTTCGGAATTAAGAATAAGCTAATTTTAAAGAAAATTTAAATATCAAAATATAAATTTAATTGCTTCTGAAACCTAAATTTTGTTTTTAAGGAATTTATAGTGAAGCCAATGAGTTTCAATGAGAGGAAGCCAACAATGTCATGAAAAGTTTGGAAGGTTTTTAAGGGCATTTGATCTCTTAAATGCTCTTTAAATTTTGTGTGTTTATAATCAAAATAAGCATTTTGATAAGACAAATCTGACGAGCCTAAAATCGATCAATTCTAAACTCGTTAAGATGCTATGATGTTCAAAGAAAAAAAATATATCAAATGAGTAATTGGGGTAACTTAAGATATTTTCGATGATTAAGTATTTTGATTCTTGGTAGGCTATATTTTTACACATTCAACGAAGGGTCTTTGGTTGAGAGAATGTCTATACTTGGGAAGTTGTAAAGATCTATCAATCACGGCCTGACACTAATTGTCAACACTACTAGGTGTCGAAAGTAAAAAAATGCCCATGGCCCTTGACACTACCACCAAATATTATTTGTCCATGAATGACAACACCCATTATCACGGCAAATTATTGCATCCGGTCACCTGACAGAGAGATCCGAACGGATCTCTCTCTATCTACAGTAAAAGCGCAGGTACTGTAGCATACATGCGCTTTACTGTAAACAGAGATAGATCCGAACGGATATCTCTATCAGGTGACCGGATGCAATAATTTGCCCATTATCACACCACCAAAACCTTCTTTATATATTAATACGAATACTAGTCATCTTCATCGTTTAACGTTAGTCAACTATTGATGTCCAACACAGACCTTCTAGGTTATTCAATCTCCCAGGCTATAAAAAGAAAGACCTAATCAAACCTTTAGACATTGACTTACCTATGACATTCCTTATCAATTGTGACCCAATACATATCAAAAAGTAATGTTCGATGCTTGTAAGCCACATATGTCTGAAGCAACCCTTTTCAATTGTTTTCCCACCTAGATGGAGACTAATTGTCTTACAATATCAATCATTGCATGAAATCCGATGTTTATTATCGATCGTAACTTACCACATATCAAGGAATTGCATCAAACATCAATCAGTCATAATAGATGTCCGCACAAGCTTTCTCAATCCTTCAATCTCCCATCTTATAAGAAGAACAATTGAGCTGGACCAGCATGCACACTCTACATTTGTTATCAACAGAAAACTAACATAAATTTTTCTTGATCATTTAATCTCCCCTCTATAGGGATAAAGATCAAACTAGATCGCTCGAAGTCAACCAATCTTTGACATTCCTAATCAATTTCCACCAACTATATACCAAAGAATGACTTCTAATGTACTTTAGCCCCCAACATATCATACACGCCTTTCTAATTGTCTGGTCTCATCTTACAAGGATAATGAACATTGCAACTCTACATGCAACAAAGATATTTTTAGCTAAGATACATGTTGATAGAAGGGAGTGTGCCTAATTCAAGTTCAAACACGATCCTTCTATGCAGATCAATAGGAGTCGACAGGATTCGAACCTTCAAATAAATACATGATTGTGGTGACCGGTGTATTTATTTTAATACATTCATATTAGACCTTCAAGTTCTATAATCAACTCACTAATAAAGGCATAAAGCCTACGAAACCTGATTCTCCTTAGCAGATAAATAGGAGTAGACAGGGTTCGAATCATCGAATAAATATGCGGTCACGAAGTTGACCAAGATATTTATTTTATACATTCATATTAGGCCTTCAAAACCTTTAACAAAGAAAATTCACTAATGAATGTATGAAGCATGTGAAATCCGATCCTCTATCGAGCAATAGACAGAGTCGACAAGGTCCAATCAATGAAATTCCCAAGTGACCTTAAAGTCACTCCAATGATGGTTGTATTGAATGAATATCTCAACCGGATGGGTTAATTCACAAACACTTTCAGATGTCTCCCAAATATCCAAATGTCCATAAAATCCAAAAATCCAAAAGTTCCAAAATTCCAGATATTTAAACATTGAAATAATCCATCAAACCGCTTAAAGCAAAATCCATCCACCCTCCACGACAGTTTGTCGGGGAGGACAAATTGAAAAATTATTTCAGCTTACAAAGAGCTAATGTCTAGTCGAGAATATCACTATGATCCATTCTCAAACAATCTCCTGCCAATAAGGACGTGGTACGTGTCATTTAACCGGCAATTTGCCGCCAAATGGCATCGCAGGATAAACGGTTATGACCCGGGCCCTCTAAACCGAGTTGTTTTGCCACCAAATGGCACCACGAAATACCGATTATGGCCCGAGCCAATACGCTCCTTAGTGGCATCAAATCCTTGAGATATGAATCAATATGATATAATCGATAGGGCACAAAGCCTTCTATTAGCTAAGGTGGATTCAAATTTATCCAATTAGAAAAATATTCACTCTAGGTCTACAAGGTACCCTTGGATGAAGCAACCCATGGCTGCCGACAAGGATCCTTCTGTCATGTTGGGTCGACTACCTCCTTTAACTAAGTAGACCAGGACCACGATGGCTCGAGACGACGGAACCATGGGATCTTGATCAGGACTATCATTCATTCCCCCACTATCCACTTTAAGTACAAGATGGTGCAATTTTCAATTTTAAATACCAAATTTTCCAAATATCTAAACACATGTTGCTACTATATGTCAGATAACACATATTCTTACGCATCTCATTAACGACTAGCCTTAATTGAAAGTTCTCTCTCGTTACTGGGAGGGGTAATTAATTATAGGGGTTTGTGCCTATAGGAAACCAGAACTCAGATTATAAAGTCCTCACAAAATGAGGGTGAAATCCCTGGTTAGTATCTTATCTACAAACCCATCAGCATTACAAAATTTACCTTGGAACTTAATCCGTTAAAACTCCCCCGAAGAAGAAAATCATACAAGCTGGGCAGAGGCCGGGGGTCAAATTTTCAGAGCCCACAGATGCCAAAAAATCAATCAATCACGTACATGGCGGATCAACTGATTCCGGTTGGATCGCCGCTGATGATTGGGCTTCAGTCTTCGATTTAGCAGAGTTGAAGACCTCAGTTGCGAGATCACCAGAGAACGAAAAACCCTCAACAAGCAGATGAAATAAGATGCCGAAAACATGCTTAGAGTTAAGGATAGTAACCAAGAAATCACTTAACATTAGTCAACTATTGATGTCCAGCACAGACCTTCTAGGTTATTCAATCTCCCATACTATAAAAAGAAAGACCTAATCAAACCTTTAGACATTGGCTTACCTCTGATATTCCTTATAAATCATGACCCAATACATATGTTCGATGCTTATAAGCCACATATGTCTAAAGCAACCCTTCTCAATTGTTCTTCCACTTCAATGGAGATCGATTATGTGACAATATAAATCATTGCACGACCTCCGACGTTTCTTATCGATCATAACTTACCACATACCAAGAAACTGCATCAAACATCAATCAGCCATAGATGTCCACACAAGCGTTCTCAATCCTTCAATCTCCCCCATCATATAAGAAGACCAATTGAGCTCAATCGATCGAAGTCAACCAATCTTTGACATTCCTTATTAATAGCCACCAACTATATACCAAAGAATGACTTCTAATGTACTTTATCCACCAACATATAATACAAGTCTTTCTAATTGTCTAGTCTCATCTTATAAGGATAGTGAACATTGCAACTCTACATGCAACAAAAATACTTTAACTAGGATACATGTTCATAGAAGGGACTGTGCATAATAATATTTTATTGAGATAAGAGTCACTCAATCATTATTAAAATAGCACTTTTTTTTAAGGGGGCAATGGATAAAGACAATATTTATCATCCTTAGAAAAAAAAAATTCTAGTTAAGGGGTAATATATATATATATATATATATATATAAGTCCTACATTTCTAAAATGCCAGCATTACAGTTTACTATATCTTATCAAAATGCTTTATATTTTCAAGACAAACAACCTCTATGGGAATACAAATATCAACAAAAAATAAATAAAAATGTGCACTTTGATCCATTTTCATAACAATGTAAAGCCCAAAATACTGCAGAATATGCTCATAAAATGTGCCCTTTGATATATCAACATACATAGAGAGTTCTGTTCTGCTTTAATCTAGATGAGGCTCACAGCTCCTACTTCATTTTTTACATTCACTTATATCTGACAAAACTTCACTTATATATACCATCATATGTAGATACAAGAAGCTCAGCTTTGTCAATCAAAGAATGATGAAATGTAATCGGAAAGTGGTATCTACACAGTTTAGTGCAGCACCGGCTGCTGTAAATTTTCATTATTTTTTATTGAAGATATATTTTTATGTAATGGTGAATAGGACGAGGTGTGTAAATCTGCAAAAACCCAAAGCCATCTGACCTGAGTTGAGCATTCTGTAACCGGTTAATTTGTCACCTCTTTAATGCTTCCAAGGAGTTATTGAAACTGCTTTAGAAGCATCCAGATGATTTAAGCGGCAGGTTCCAAGCAGAAACTCTGGAAGCTCTTCTTCAGTATTGCCCTGATGTCACAAAGGGAAGAAAAGAACAAGGCACTGTATGGTTAGATTTCTCCTTTTTCAAGCAATTTTTGATAAAGCTGGTCAATTTTTTAACCAACAAGGCAGTGCCTGTTCTCTCCTGCCGTATAGTAAAAAACCACAATCAAATAGGCACTAAGAAAGTTGCATTCTTGCTCTCAAAAAGCTTTATGATTTCGTTTGGGACAACTTTCATGCTGCTTCCTAGAAAGGCTTTTTAGTATAAAATTTTCTAATTCAAGAAATTTTTGTACTAAAAAACTGTTTTAGAAAGCAACATAAAAGCTATCCCAAACGAAGCCTTAGACACGCATAAGCTGTTTCTGCTGTCCTAAATAGCATAATCAGACGATAAAATAAGCATAATGGAGCTCAAATGTTACAAATACATACATAATCTTAGGCTCATTTGTTTGCTTGAAGTAGGAAAACAATTTTTGAAAAACATTTGAGTTTATTGGAATTCTATCAACTTGTTTTATGTAGAGTAAGAAATGAATATTTGGTTTAAACTCTAAAAATACTTTTAAAATCTTACAAAATAGTATTTGCAGATCTATTGGCAAAAGGAAATATCTATAAACCAAATGGAAGAATGAACAGAATACACGTATTGAAAAATGAAAGCTATGAAGCATTGGCCATATACTTGTATGGTTACAACTTACTTGTATCAGGAATGCCATCTCTATAACAAGATTGGTCAGGTAACCAAGAACAAGAGTAATAACGCCTCTGGCTACTGTTGATGAACCAACATCGACTCCAATCTGAAAATCAACATAAATTCAAGACACTGGCCAGGTAATTATTAGATTAACTAATAACTGACAAAGATCACAACGGTCTATGGAAGACATGCGCATAAACTAAATTAGAAAATGAATATCCTCCTGCAAAACCCACAATGTATTGGTCTTGGCGCCATAACTTGAAATATGCAGTAGAACACTTTGATCCGAAATTGGGTGTCTGAAAGCCTTTTGGAACCAGTAGGAATTCGTCTAAGACAAGAAAATTAGGTTTCCTTTGAATTATTTGAAGGAAATGAGGTGTTCCTTACTGATTTTTCATCAAAAAATAATAAGCGTGGCAACATTGACAGTTTCGAATGAATTCCACACCTAAATTTGTTGACTATGGAAAATACTGCAGAGTTTGTGTTAGGCCGGCCTAAGAGGGGCCGGCTGTTCCTATTGAACCAATCCCTAGTGAATCGGTTTTCTACTACAGCCGCCGGCCCAGGGAAGGGAGAGAGAAGGGGCCGGCTGCTCCTATGGGGCCCACACCTTGATTAAAAATTACTTCAGAGGTAAATATTTGAATTAGGGGCTATTTAGGGAATTTGTATTTCTCCTTTGACTTTAATTAGTTGCTAAGACTAGAATTAGGATTTGATCTTGAATTTGAATTTGAAATTTGAGATCTTCCTTGTGCTTGAGCTCTAGTCGCTTGGCTAGGGATCTGGAGAGTCGTTTCTTCCTCTTGAATTGAAGAAACTAGTATTATTTGTTGTTTTTCTTTGTTTGCTAGTGAAATCCATCATTTTTTTTCAGATTTCTACAGTTTTTCTCAAGTTGCTGCAGTCCGATTGCTGTTTTTCCAGATTTTCTGTTGGAGGTGACTATTTCCTATCAGTTTGCTTGCTGTCCTGCACCATGAATTGCTATAAACACCAAATATTGGCTGAAAAATGTAGGAATATAGTTGGACTACAAGCCAGCGGCTGGAGGAGTTTTTCGGGTGTCTTGAGGCTGCAGCAGAGGCAAGAAGGTGCTGTATAAGAAGCAGGAGGCTGGAGGCGGCTTTTGATGGCCTAGTTGGAGCCAGTGGATAGGATGGGAAAGAGAAACCTAGGAAAGGATCATGGGAATTTTTGGATGCTTTTCATTGTAGGCATTGTCTATTTATAGTCATAACGAAACAAGAAATAATTCAAATCTTCCCTACGGTAACTCCATAACATACTACTATTTAAAATTCAAATTATAAACTTATCCAAAATAAAATTCAAATTCAAATTATAAGCTTTCATACTATGCATAGCAAGTAATTGCATAGCAATACTGATGTGTTATATGAATTAGAGAACATAAAAACTTAGGACATAATGGCACTCATCAGATCTCTACGTTGAGTGATCAATTATATGAACATGAGGAGCTTTAAAGGTGAAATGTAAATGAACAAAAGGACTGCAAGGGGTTGGAGATGCATGTTTTGAAGTGTCTTCTAAAAGTTCCTCTAATGCCCATCAAATCAATTCTTGTAATACTCAATTACATATAATTTCAAGATCAATAAACACCAAATAAATATCCTTTCAATGTTCTCGATATTTCTCAATTAATAACAACAGAAAAAAAAACTTCATAGATATTCCTAACATAAAACCAATTTGATTCTCTAACATCAACATAATATTTTAAGAATATTATCCTCCCTCGCTTTCATAACTTTATGAAAGTTCATAAATTTGATTTCCCATAAAAAAAAAAGATTTCCCCATAATTGTCATAATCATAAACATCTCTCTTATTTTTCAAAGAATGGTGCCACTACATTCTTCACTCTTTACCCATTATCTTGGCCTTCAAGAATTCACAAAAAGAATAATAAATCGAACTACTCTCGTATCTTTAATTCTCTAATCCCCTAAAACTAAAATTTGTTTGTATGCATCTTTTCCAAAGCAAATTAATCTCATGCTTCTGTGGCATAAACTACAATAAAATTCATAATTATATCCATTTTTGCTCATTAAAGAACTTTTCCTTAAAACTTTTATTTAATAACTTCTTAGAATAGCATTCTTAACATTTTTTAATATCAACATCAACTAAAATGAGAATATGTTCTATTTCAAAACATCTAACATGATTAAAGCTGTAAATTCTCTTATTTTTCCTTCGTTATCTTGTCTCTTTTCCTCCTTTAACAACCAACCTACTAAACAAATCACTTGGGTTGTTTATTTGGCTTTGATCATTAGGTTTGTAGCTGTAGCTTTACTAAAGACTTTTACAAAACTTTTAGCTTCCTTATCCTCGTTACATTTCACACTACTTCCTCACTTTACAGCTAATCCTTTAGATATTTATAATCTATTTCTAGGCACTTGAAAACTTCTATGACAATCTTCATACTACAACTAGTCAATGTAACCAACATCAAATTTAACTCAATTGTATAATTAAAACTTATTTTTCTCTACTTAGAGGATTAACAACTTCTCAAATTGCAACATTTTATTCTAAAATATGCATATAAATTTTGCAAAATGATGTTTGACTGTCTAGACAAGACAACTCTCGTAGAAATTCAATGCCTGTTAAAAAATTATTTTCTTTTAACATTTCAAGGACATGAATTTATAATACAGATAATTGTTCAATTAGTTACTAAAACACACTTTTTTAAATAAATGGATAATAAGAATAAAGTTAGTTTCCCATAAAATAATTGTTAAATAGTATAGTACATATAATCACTTTTTTTTAGTACTTCAGAGTTTTTGGGTAACATACTTTACAGAAACAATGCTTTGGTCTACCATCTACTGTGGATTAGGATCAGAGGTTAGGAAACTAGATTTTGCAAGTAAAACCTGTGATGAACCAATATAATGCCAGTAAAACATAGGGGTGTCAATTTTGGGTCACAGGTCGGGTTCGGGTCGAATTCGAAACTGACCTGACAATATTCAGGTCAACTCGAACCCAACCCGTTTCGGCATTCGGGACAGTTTTTCAGACCCGAACCCGACCTGCTTCGGGTCTGGATCAAACCAACACGACCCGAATGACCCGAGACGGAGCAAAAAATGATAGTTTTCGGGTCAAAATGGATCAATCTCTGATTTTCGGGTCAAAACGGGTTTCCAAATCAAAAAAAAGGTTTTCGGGTAAAAAACGGGTCAATTTCGGGTTACTGGGTCAACCCGAACTCGACCCAATTTTTGAAACGGGTTGATTTGCTAAACCCGAACCCGACCCGTTTCGGGTCCGGGTTGAACCTAAGTCTTCTATCATCCTAAGATGAATGCAAAGTTTCCTTCATCAAACATAAGACTAGTTTCTTGGAGAAGGCCTATAACATATTCTTTTGAGAGAGATGTTTCCCTTGCTCTAGTCAGATTTTCGTGTCGTGTTCAATATTGACACCCCTAGTAAAACATGCTACATGAAACATGGACACTTCCATAAAGCTGTTATTCAATGGCTTGGGTGTCGAAACTCCAAGACACATCTAGACATAGTGATGCCATTTGAAATCTATCATCTTCCATAAGATTGATGATATCTGATTAGATATAATTTTTTCATGTATTCACATTCCAGATTAATTAATAATTAGGCAATTCTTTTATGTTAACTCTTATTCACATGACAAGTATCAATTTATGATGTTTTAAGGGCAGATTAAATTTTTAGTTGTTAGGCTATTTCTATAAATAGCCACTAATTTTGTGTAAGAAAATATGTTATAGAGATTTGTAGATAAAATTGTTGTGGCCCATATTATGAGTACCTAATCTTCTGTTACGAGGATTCAACATTTCATTTTAAATTTAAAATCTACAATTCAAGAACTCACTATTTTCCTATAGTTTCTCCTTTTATTTATTTCATTGTTCTATTGAATCTACAATTCCACTACCTATATCGCATCAATTTTGTATCAAATAAATTTCATGTTATTTTTGTACAAATTTCATGAAATCCTTACCATTTTGCCCTCAATTACAACAATTTCCAGCACTTGTCCTCTCATCCCACAAACATAACGACGAAATTCAACTTTCCATATCCCTCTAGTCTCCCCACTATGGATCCCTATCTCCTCATGAGAAAAAAGAATAAAAAATCCAAAATCCCTCTGACCACTATCTCCGTATGCCCCTCCTTTTTTTTTTCTTTTTCCACGTCATTTCTTGAATTCCCTCCATAAATTTCTCAACAATCAATTCAAATTTGAGTTTAAGTAATATTTTATATCAAAATCAAATTATGAACCAGCTCATTTCCTAAAAATTTTCAATAATATGAAATTAAAGACAAATTCACAGTAAATTCAATTTCTTAACTAATTCCTAAAATTTCTGTGCTAAATTAGCCACCTAATTCGATCCAAATTCATCATCATCATATTCTAATTTAACACTCTCTCATTAGGGGTGTCAATTCAGGTTTATGTGTCAGGTGCTTATTAACCCAAAAAAAGATCCGAGTAAATACAATCAGCTTGAATTTGACCTATTTATTTAAACCTATGATGCATCGACACAGACACGTCGACACATACACGACACCACACGGACACGTGACACGGCATTTTTAAAAATATAGGACACGGGTGCGGCGTGGACACGGCATAATAAATTTTTAATATAATATATAAAAATTAAGGTGACATTATATTAAAAATGACAAGCAATAATAAATCAATTTCATGATAACTTGTTGAATAAATGAGTATGTGCTCCAATTTCTCTCACAACAAGAAGAGGATGATACTTGAAGTTATGCTTGTTTTTAAAGTTTGTAAGTTATTTGTATGGAAAGACACCGAGCGGTACCGAGCATGTATCGAGCGGTACCGAGCATGTACCTAGCGGTACCGAGCATGTACCTAGCGGTACTGATCATGTACTGAGCGGAATCGAGCTTGTACCAAGCGGTACCGAGCATGTACTGAACTGTACCTATCGATACCTAGCGATACCTAGCGGTACCGAGCATGTACATTAGCTTTTTTTCTTATAAGTTTCAAAAAAGAACAATTAATATTTCAGGCATCAAGAGTCAGGCGTCGATACCATTTATCAGTCACCGAGAAAGGAGATGAAAATATCTTCACCGCTAAAAAGAAATGAAAATGAGAATATTCGATGATTGAGAATTAAGTGCGGACGTTGATTTGGTGTTGTGGATAGGAAATAAGAAATTTAGTTTAAATTCCGCAAAATACAAGAAATTATATTTTTAAAAATTCATAAAATATTTAAGATATGTGTGTCCAATTTGCATTTAATATTTTTTAATCGAACATATTTTTGGTGTGTCCGACACGTGTCGAAGGAGTGTCGGACGAGTGTCGTGTCGGACATGGTGTCGAACACTGCACGCCTCTTTGAGGAGAAGTGTCGGTGCATCATAGATTTAAAAGGTCCAAAATATCAAACCCAAACATGACCCAACATCACATAAAAAAACATTTAACTTGTGCGGGTTAGCTTCAACTCGACAAAAATAAACATGATAACTCGATTTGGACAAAACAACAAAAATTATAATTTTACGAGTTTATCATAAAAATGCATTTAATAGCTAAAACATTATTTTTTTGGTTGACCTGAACCGAATATAATATGACCCAAAACTGACATGATTGATTTTCGAGTCACTTATGCTGACACGAACCCGACACAAACATTAAATGAGCTAACCCAAACATGGATTTTAGTTTCAGGTTCAAGTTGGGTTTTCATCTCAGGTCCAATATTGAACCAAGTCCTTCTAATTTATACTGGACAAGAGGTTTGTTTGTAAAAGGGGAAATAGAGAGAAAAGGTGATGACGACATCCATCGGAGGTTTCGACGTACTTACCATTGGCAGAATCGTAGATTGACGACTATGATTCATAGTCTCTATTTATAATGTTTTAGTGCATTTCTTTTATTTATTTTCCGGTTTTCCACTTGTACCCTTATGAGGGATTTGTGTCAAGTTGTAGCCTAAGGTCATTTGTGTCTTTTACATTTTTTCATGCTTTGGTGGTCTATATATTAAGGCTTAGTCATTGTATTAGTCTCTAATGATGATTTTGATGAATGAAATTCTAATTTGCTTCTTGTTGATCTCTTTGTGAGTTCCTGAGAGTGGTGAAGCCTAGGAGAGGCCGACGAAATACCCAACAGCTTCCCGCGGGTGAATTCTTGGTTCTTTTATTTTAGTCTTCATCTTCCTCTTCCCTTCTCCCCCTATACCGCTCGCAATCCCCTTCCTATCCCCCCAAACTGACGGCCTCAACCCCTCCCCTTGATTCCCCATTACCCGCTACCCCTCTACCTAACAAGCCACTGACCATTTCAATAACACGGCGTCCGGCCTCCACCTCATCACCCCTTTCCCACCCATGCCTAACCCGCCGGCCACCTTGTCCCAAATTTTTAAAATTCAAAAATCAAAATCCAAATGCCTTCATTTACTTTCCTAAATTAGATCCTAGTTCATTAGGAAAGTTTCCTATTGAGAATTCAAATAAATATTTGAATTCACATACTTTCCTTTTGCTAGAAACTAATTTAGGAAACCTCCTCATTGAATCAAATTTGAAATTAAATTTAGATTTGATTTTATTCATTATTTATTCCTTGGGAAGGGCCACACACTTGAAATAAAACACCCATCTCCTCCCTATATGGCCGGCCACTTACTAAACATTTATTCTCTCCCACTTAAATTCCAATCACCATTAATTCCCCACTAATACCCCATTAAACCGCTGGCTCCTTATTACTCCTTTTGGATAATTTTGAAATTCAAATTTAATCCCTCTCCCTCCCTTAGTGAAATCTGAATTTAATTTCAGATTTACTAAATCCCTCTCTCCACCTTGCTAACCCAACCATAGCCACCCCTCTCCTTGCCCGCCAACTCCCCTCTCACCGACGCCCTCTCCACTTCTCCCAACCGGCAGCTCCACCAAAGAACACCACTCGGATATTTTCATGTCCATGTATGGCAGATCCAGAAGTTGATCACGGATTTGTCTTCAATTCTCAAGGGGAAATTGACGTCATCCAATCGCCCTTCTTCGACCTCGGATTTGGATCCGAAGGCACCGTTGAGGAATATGTGGATTGTATTCTCTTCCATTTGGCAGACATCATCGACGAACAACGACCTACAGGAGAGTGGAAGATCACCGGACGACCGCCCGTCTCTCCAACTCCGGCCAAATTCCCGTAGACCAGATCCGCCGGCATCCTCTGTCTTTCAATGGCATCACTCAGATTGCTGACATTCCTCCTCCGCTAACCCTACTTCCAACGAGTGATTGAGAGGGAAAATTTAAGGTGAAAACTCGATTTGTTAAGTGATGGATTATCGTTAACTGCATATTTGTTTTACTATTGTCTTGTTATTATATCGGACCTGTTAATCTAGCATGTAATCGCATACTTGAAGCAAGTTGATAACCACAAAAATTGAAAGTCTTAACTTAAGTGAAACAATAATCCTATAATTTTATTACTAAACAAGTTTCTTATTAAAATCTTGCAATTTCATTGTTTGTTTCACATCAAAAGGAAATTAGAAAAAAGAAAAAGAAGAGAGAAAGAATGAAGATAATGCAAAGAAAGTGTTCTTTTTAATCTTCAAGATGATGATATTTCTCAAGAAATATATATATCACATTTACTCTAAGACTGCATAAAAATTGGAAGTTCATCATGTTCTGCAATAAAGTGTAGCTTATATAGGTCAAAGAGTGTTTCTATTGCTTCCTCGACGCATTTGTTTAGCATATGAAAAATACAAAAAGATGAAGATATCATATACCTTCAAGAAAATACCTACTTCTTCTAAAGAAGACATTGTTGCTCCTTCAACCTATTAGAAAGACTTCATTTTCACTCTCTCGAATAGAGTTTTTTCCACTCCATGGGTATTGATGTAATATGTCGTGTCATTCGATTGATAATGCATGGTCTAATAGATAAGATTTCATTATGAATTTATTTTAAAATTTATTCGTAAAATAGAAAATTTTTATATTACTTCTCATTTAATGAGGCTTATCATGTCATAAGCTTTGTATTAATTTGAACTTTTAGTCATGAAGTTATTCCCATAAATAGACCCATATCCTCCTCTATTAAAAAATTTATGCTATGAAGAGTTCAATGAAAAATTACTACTTCTCATATGCACCCTAATTTCTTGATGAGGACATCGTCAGCAATTTCGACACATGTACCATCAGGAGACGCCGGAGATCGACAGCCACGATCATGAGTTTTATTTTGAGTCATTTTATTTAGTAGTTTATTTTATTTATCAGTTTCTCCGCTTTTGCCCTTATGGGTATTTGGTCGCTATTGTAGCCCAAGGGGTATTTTAGTCTTTTGTTTTCTTTGTCATTTTGAGGCCTATATATATGGCCATTTTCTTATGTAAGGAGAATGGATGAATGAAAGTTTTCTACTCTCATGTTCTCTTTGTGAGTGCTTGAAGATCTCTTGGTGAGTTCTTTATTTTGTGATCACTTTGTGAGTTCTACAACTTTCTAGTTCTCTTAGTGAGTGCTCGGAAGAGAACCGGTAGATCTCTTTGTGAGTTCTATTGGTTGACGGATTAAAGATCTTTTGTTCAAATTATTTTATTTTCTTCTTCCACCTACCTCCCTTCCACCACAAGAAAATCCCATCTAAAAAAAAAAAAGAAAACCACCCTAGCCCTCTTGCCGCCGCCCCCACCCCCTTGGATTTCAGCCACCGGCCACCCTCACAAATCCGGCCGCCCACCTTGCCGATGGCCTTCTTCCACCCGGCCAACCCCTCTCTCTATCAATTTCAAATTTGAAATTTGGAATTCAAATTTTAAATTATTTCCTAATTTGGAATTCCAAATTAGGAACTTATCCAATTTCAAATTAATTTAATTTGGAGTTTTTTTTTAAATCCTATTTCCACATCAGCAAGCCAATTTGGAAACCCCTTCCTCCCTCTCCAAACTCCTCCCCATCTCCTTGATGCCGCCGGCCCCCTTCATTGGGCTTCCCATTAATTGCCCAATTAATCCCCCTCCCTATTTTGAAATTCAAACTTTAATTTCAAAATAATTCCCTCCAATCTCACTTAAAACTGAAATTCATTTCAGTTTTCCCAAACCCTAGCCCCTCATTGATGCCGCCGACCCCCTATTGGCTCTCTCCATTGAATGAGCAATAATCCTCTTCTTTAATTTGGGAATTCAAAATTAGATCTCTAATATTTTCCCTCCCAAATCTCTTAAACTGAAATTAATTTCAGCTTTCTAAAACAAACCACATCCCTCTCCCTCTTTGTATTAATTTGAACTTTTAGTCATGAAGTTATTCCCATAAATAGACCCATATCCTCCTCTATTAAAAAAATTTATGCTATGAAGAGTTCAATGAAAAATTACTATTTCTCATATGCACCCTAATTTCTACTTTGACTATTTAGCACTTAAAATAGTTAGACATCTACTTAATTTTATGTCTTAACTAGTGTCACTTCTTTAGTATTCTTCTTTAGAGGAAAATTCATTGCCAGAGGACACTTCCTTCAACATAGCTTTCCCCAGTCATGGTATGCTTACTTATCAGGCTTCAGACTTGCCTATTTAATGCAATTAATAGTTTTTTTTCTGCTTGATATAATCCAATGACCAAAAGGATCATATAATTTAGGCAAAATCTACTTGTACAATTCTATTTATCTTGAATAACATCATACAAAATCCACAACTTACTAGTGCAAGCTTTTCTAAGATCTTTCCCATCCCTTCCATAGCCCAAATTCAGGTAGAAGATTATTACTTAACTAGTATGCATAATCCAAACTTTTAACGACATTAAGGATATTGTGATTTAAAGAACTGTTCTTACCTCCAAGTAATTTTTCCCGCCAAAGTAATTTACTTCCAATGCTTGACCAATCAAGCATGCTTTTTTTCCCACACTTTGCTTCACTATCCAAGAGCCCTATAAGCATAATGGATATATAAGAAATAGAGCATATGTGAATGAGACAATAACAATGTAGATTGCCTAGATTTCCATGAACCAACGGCCCAAAGACAATAATAAGATAACGGGCAAATTCATACCTTAGATATATAAGGGATGAGCTTAAACCTTGAATTCCTAAAAGCATCATCCCCTCTAACAAAGCGCTCTAACAATGGCACTCTTTCAAGAGGGGTATCCATCAGATAATACAAACCAAGAGAGTATGTCGTTGAACCTGGAACCTGCATGCAAAATTAGAAAGAGAAAATTACAAATTAAATGGATAATATTCCAAATTTAGGCGAGAGATGAGCATCAATGCACCTGGATGTTAACAATGAAGAAAAATTCATTGCCACCTTGATCAGCATATTTCTGCAAAACCAAGAATTTGACTTACGATGCATTCAAATTGAAGTTTAGCACTCACTCGTAAGGAATAATAGTATGTTAGGCATGACAAACCTGCACAATGCCCCCAGGTCTGCCACCAAGATCATCTTCACGCTTATCAGATTTTAGCCAATCAGCAGCGACCATTTGCATCAAGGAACCATTGGCTTTGACCTTCGGAAATAGCCAGTAAAAAAAGAATATCAATCTCTCTTCTAAAGTAAAATGGAATTCACTGACCAACCATTTATGTGGATTTCTTATAGTCTAGTATTTAACTTTTACAACATTTATATCAGGAGGCAAGACAGGAACATCATTGCTAGCATGAAACAAATATAAATTGATAGTTATTTACATAACTTTCTATAAAGATAGCATGCTACTTTCCAATGTCTTCATCCATATTTTCCAACTATATGATGCCTCCCTTTCAATAACAGTCAGTTGCATTTATTACAAGACAGAAGTGAGAGAGATTATTCTATGTATCCTACATTCTATCACATGATTTATGAAGCATCCAGCACCATAGTCATGAAAGCAAAGGATGCCCAAGTGAGGAAAAAAATATTCCTTGTTCCAAAGAACATAGCAGGAATGAAAGAGATGCATCAATTATGTAATAAGTAACCTGATAAAGAGCTCAAGTTTATTGCTCTCCGATGCATGAATTAGTTTTATTGCATCCTTTACTTTGTGTTTAAGATATAAGTGTTTATTAATTAGAGTCACTCTATTTTCAATATTTTGAGTTGTTTATCTAGCATCACAGAATAATGGGCTTAATATTCCTTCAAGAACGTGCAGTTCGACGCATGAATCACAACATTTGAAAGAAAATTAAAAATGACAGTGGAAGGTGGGAGTCCCTATTTGGCTCCATGGTGAGGATGTATTTCCATTATGACAAGTTGAAGCACACCACTCCTGCTAGCTGTATATGGCGATGAGAATTTGTGAACTGATTTTCCCATCCTCGGATTCGCAGCTACTTAGGTTGCCAACCTGGCATTGGTTGATAGATCCCTTAACTTGTTACTTGACTACATTACTTGAAGTAGTTGTATAATTATTATATCTACAGACATGGTTCTCAGATTATGCACATATAACTTTAATGGATGAATTCATTTAAAGTTGGATGTTCTCATCATGGAATATAGCTGATAAGCATATTATTCAAGACATGTCCCTCCCTGCATCCAGTTCACAATGTTTTTTTCACATATTAGACAGATATTTTCTACTTAGAAAACATATTGTACTAAATTTTGTGTTTTCTCTCTATTTACTTCAATCTGACAATTCATTGGATAGAGGCGGCAGCTCTAGGGCACGGCAACGGATAGATGGGTTCAACAATCTTGGACGGTCGGAGTTGGGCTAGAAGAGGCGGCGGCTGATTGAACCGGAGCAGGAATCGGTCGGCGAAGTTGGGACTGGAGGTTGGAGGGTGCGGACAGTTGCGGCTAGGGCACGACAGGTGAGTACCGAATCCCTCTTTGTCTTCCTTCTTCTCATGTTTGTTTTTGAGAGCGTGAGAGTGCAAATGAGGTCGAGCACTGTGTCGTGAGAAGCGACAATTGCTCCGAGATCGTGTGATCGTGGGTTTACCGGCGGTTAGGGTCGTGGGTGAGTCGTTACAGGTCAACATGAGTGTCTGCTTCTTTCCATTTGGATATATATTAGTCTCTCAACTTATGTGTTTTCTTGAACCAATACACTTTGTTCTTAAGATTTTCTGTGGGTAGCTCAATGTAACTTTTTTTATCATAACACTTTCACTAATTAATAATAAAATTTTAATGACTGTAAAAATTAGCTTGTTGATATAATATGGGAAAATTGTTGAATTATTGAGGAGGAAGGGCTCGACTGTAGATAGTATTTTTATATTTTTTAGGAATGGAAAATTGGTTGATATTGAAGTGAGTTTGTCATTAAGTGTAGGATCTATATTCGGTTAAGTGCTTAATGCAAACAAAAAATAAGAGAATAATACAAATTTGTGTAAGTAAACTTGCAATTAAATGTAGTAAAATTTATAAAGAATTGATTGAGTATATTGCTAAGATCTACTGATTTCTACAGCAGTAATTGAGAGTGGAATTTAGTGAAGACATTTCTGTTAAAGGGGAATAATAAAGAATTGAAGGAAAGGAACGAATTGAGATAAAAAATTCTAGTTGTTTTATAATAGTTACGGTTCTTATAAATTTATAAGTAATAGTAGAAGTTTTAAAGAAGTGTATACCAATTGTTATTTTAGGATTCAACAGATATATGCAGAAAGAAGGTTTTGGGATAGTTTATCAAAGGAAAAGATTACGTGGTGTAGAATTGGAAGAAGCAGTTCATGAAATAGGTAAGTTAGACAATTTTAAATTATAAAAATAAATATTAGAATTTCTTGATACATATAATATCACTTGATTCATTTACAAGTTTAATTATGTTAATTTATTGCATATAAACATACATCTTTGTATGCATTCTTAAGCAACTACGTATCTATAGGAAAACTTGCAAGAGGAAATAAGATAAAGCATGCTTGTTAAAGACATTGCTAAGTTATGTTAAAGGTAAGTTGTGTAAATTATAATTTACAGATGCAAGAAATATTAATGCTAGATAGGTAAGATATCATTTGATTTAATTAAAGTGATAAATGCATTATAAAGATTCCAATAATAAAAATGAGTATACTCCAAGTTGTCAGTATGATCGACCACTTGCATATATGTATCATTAAAGTTTAACATAAGATTTTTTATGATTATTTTAATATCTTTCTAGTTGATAACAAATTGAAAAGAGCCAATTAAATTTCATGTTGCTAACACATCCTGGTATGTAAGTATAGTAAGAGACGGATTCTTATGGAATTTTATACATGGCCAGGCAATTATGAATTACTATGTTATGAAATATACTGAATATCAATTTAGTAAAATTTGACTATAAAATAATGTACAACTTACAATTACAGGTGAGGCAAAAGGGTCATCATGTATGACATTGTATTGTAAGTAGGGCAATAGGGATTCCAGAGATATGATATCGCATAACAGATGGGGCAAAAAGGACTCCTAATGAGGCAAAAGGGATATCTATATTGTTCAATGACAATAATGGCAGATTTACCTGGGCTCCATTGAACATGCTGAAAAATGTTTAGCCAAATATTTAAAATACTAATATGGATATTCAATATAAACTTCAAAGAAAGTAAATGTTAAAGTTAAATATTATTTTATGATATTTTATAAATAATGTCATGTTTGTATAATTTATGATTTCAATATTATGAATTTTATAATCATAAAATTTAAATGTTATTTAATTTGCATAACTTATTGAGCTTCATAGCTCACCAATTCTTTCCATAGTGATGTTGTTACAGGAAAATGATAAGAAAAGTTTGTTGCAGAATAATTTGCAAGTTATTTCATTTTATATGCTAGTGTTTAGCTTTATTTATAAGTTTACAGTTGAGGTATATAGAGAGTTCAGTTGTCTAATATTTTAAGATTGTATTAGTGGCTCTGTAAGTATTTGTTTAATATAATTTGAGTTATTAGATATTTTCATTTATGTAATAAATGTAATGGTGTTGGATGTTTTATTTGAATATTCAAATGATGAAAAGTATCATATGTTTATGATAAAAAATGTTATGCTTATTTGTGTGACACTATATACTACTAACAATAATGATAAGGGGTATTGTGAGATGTTCCAGAAATGAAAGGTAAAACTTGATGTAGAATAGGTTCAAATTTATTTCACTTTATGTTCTACAGTTTAACATTGTTTGCAAGTCTACATTTGAGATATGTAGATTGTTCAGTGTTATACTATTTTAGACTTTTTAGTGATTCTGTAAATATATGTTATAAATTTTGGATTAATTAGATGCTTCTGTTTATTATATAAATGAAATTATGGTTGGATGTTTTTATTTAAGTATGAATTTGATGAGGAATAATAAAAGTATAGTGAATTAATGTTATGTTTATTCTGTTGCAATCTACATTATGGGGTATTGTGGGATGTTACATTCATCTTTCCTTTCTATTTCAAGTAGGTCTTCACAAATTGAGAGCACTTCAAGTAATTCTTCCTATTTAAGCAATATGAATGTTGCATATTTTGGAGATCTCCTCTTCTTTAGTGCACCATAGAGTTCTCCATTTGGTCAAAGCTTTGGTAGAAATTTGCTTCAGACATTGCGGCGGTAAAGGATAGAGATGAAGGCTATATCAAGCAGGGCATCAATGAAGACTACGTTGGTTATAGATAGAATAACAACAAGAGAAGGCTGGAAATAAAAGGCACAACAATAGAAAAAACTCAGAATTCTGGCAACGACAATGAAGGTTCTGATACCATGTTAAATTCAGAGAATTAGAGAGGGAAAAAGCTTGATTTTATAGCACAAAATTATCCCTATTTAATACAAGATATCTTAATAAAGAAACAAATAATTACTGAATAATGCATAATTATCCTAATATAATCCTTCATAAATCAGCCACCCAAATATGGAAGGGGATCAGCGTGATTCAGGTGAATCTCCCATGAATTCCCATCCTGACTGTGGGATCAACTGTCAAGGGATGGTTGGAACTTAACAAAGATCGGCTTGATCAGGTAAGCCTCCCACGAATTCCCATCCTAGCCGTGATATCAAGTGTGAAGGGATGGTTGGAATTTAAACAAAAGGTCAACACTATCCATTCAACTACTCATCAATCCACCCATCTATTATTCTATCAATCTAGTTATCCATTCTTTAATACATCTATCCATCCATTGATCTGCTTGTAATCAATCCAACATCCATCAATTAATCTGTCCCATCATACATCCACCCCTCAATCAATTGACCCATCCATCAATCAACTCATTTATTGATCCATCCATCCATTGATCCCATCCATTTGTTCACCTGCCCGCCAATCACTGTTGACGCTACTCATCCCTTACTCACATCTATCCTGCTACTTTCACATTCCTGTTGTTTTTTACTAACCTTTTTACCCATCTATCTACTGGCCTTTCATCGATAACATTCCAAAAAAAAAAAATTGTCAACTTATTGATGTAGTCAAAAGTTTCAATTTTTTCCCTTAATGGGCATTTATTGTTGGGCTGAAATTTTACTTTTGGGCTTGGCCCATTTTCCCTTGGCTGATTAAGCATCATTTTGGTATTAGAGCGTCTAGGTTATCGTGTGTGTGTGTTTTTTTTAAATGGAAAGTCAAAACAAACAACAAATTAAAGGCAATGAAGAAGGTCATCTAACTATGCCTTGGATTCATGAGGACATGCTTCTAACAACAAAATGGATTCCACCTCGAGCAAATTTTTCTAATCCTCTACAAAATGAGCTTCTCAAGATTCAAAGACAACTGCATTTAAGTACCGAGAAATTTGAAGCTAAGAAGCTTCAAAACTCATGTCCAAATTTGAACGAGAAAAGGAGATGACCGAAAAGAAATACTCTACTTTGACTAAGTATTTAGATAAGGCGCAATTTACTCAAGTTGGAATTCCATAAACTATCTCATCAGGTGATGAGAATTCTCCACCAAGAGAGAATTGATGTAGGCAAAAGTTTCAGCTTTTTCCCTTAATGGGCATTTATTGTTGGGCATAAATTTTACTTTTGGGCTTTGGCCCATTTTCCCTTAGCTGATTTTGCATCACTCATGGATCTATTTCTATCTTCTTGATTCTTACTTATAATTGTGCGACTAAACTCTAAAAAATTTTCTAGTTCAGATTGACCTCGCATGGTAAATTCTGGACAGCTTTGGCTAAAACATTTACTGCCATTCGATTTGGTGTGCTAAATCTTCACTTTTAAGGTTTGTTAGTTTTGCAGAAATCAAAATAATCTCAAAACAGTATTTTGAATTAAGGAAATACAACATACTATGAGAATAAAGAGAATCAGAGATTTAGATGAAGCATCCATATAACAAGAATAAAAAACCTAAATGTAAATTGCAGTATTACCTTATGATGGTCACTAAGGTAGCTTTCACTACGAATCAAAAATGTTGAAGGATCCGTCTCTGCCCAAGTACAAGGGGCATTAAAGGTTGCATCCTTCTTGAGAGTGGTCCCATAACTGCATGGTATTGTATCTCCCATTAAGGCGTCTTGTAAATCAATATAGCCTTTCTTTTGGACTGAAAAAGTAAAAAGAAATAAAGTAATTCGATTAAATAAAAACAAACTTAACTGCTGCATTGAAGCTACGTCATAATACATTAGCAAATCAAGGCACACTCACCTGCAAGTTCATGTAACCTTTTCACTAGGCCTGCAGCTGCTGAAAACTTGGGCTGGCGTTGTTCCTGCAACAATGAACATAAGAACATGAAAACCATTTCGTTTTCAGATAATATTAACGGAAGAACTGCATGTTTATACTGGAAAAGCTAAAAAATTAGCAATATTTTTAATCATAAGTTAGAAGTTGAATAGCAAGAATAAAATCAAATGTACATATAAGTATAAGCAATTTGCCAGGTGTAAAAGGCCAGACAAAGTTCAACAAAAGACCAAAAACATCTAAAAAGGAGATCATCACGTAATTTCATCATCTTTGCACAAGCACCATAACAGCTGATGGTTGTGAAGTTCATGCAGTAAAGCCTGAAAAGCTCAAATGACCATAGGTCAATTAAAAAGAGTCAAACTAGGTCATGATAAAAGTGAACCGAGCCTATTTTCAAATTATTTCAGGCCTATTTGTACAAAGATAGTTTTGCCATTTTGAATATATCCTATTATTATAAATACTTTGAAGGTCAAGTAATTTAGGAGATGATAAATGAAATATTTTGAGATCTAGTTCTACCAGACTTCTTCCTGTTATAGATGCATGCGGACTATCACGTCCCCTTGCATTGAGGATTCAACACCTAGCCTCGAAGATTTAGTAACCTGTTTTTGTGAGAAATCAACAACAACAATTTGATTCACCACGTATCTTTCTTTTCCTTGTCTTTTCTCTTGTTGGATAGGTTTTCTAATTTTTACTAGTTTTGTCTAGTTTAAGGAGTCTTTCAACATGTACTTTGTATTAGAGATTTCCTTGCAATAAACCGGTCGGAGTATCCCCCATCTACACAAACGGCCTTAATCCCAAGAAACGGGAATCTCTTCCCACACTCCCCCCATCTACACAAACGGCCTTAATCCCAAGAAACGGGAATCTCTTCCCAACAATAGACATTGGTTTCTCAGTCTATATCTCTGGCCTAAATGAACAAACTAGCATATATGGAGTACAATTAAATATTCATCAACAACAGCAACAACATCAAGCCTTTGTCCCACTATGTCGGGACAATTAAATGTTCATCAAAGATAAATTAATTATCTTATTAAGTTTAAGCCTAAAAGCCCAAAAAAGAAAGAATTACACTTCTTTATCTCCTAAACTACAAAGATTACGTTTGAAGAATTGCAGCCTAAAAGGACAGTTCCTAGAATAGTAAAACCAATAATTTAAAAATACAAGCAGGCTTCATTAAATAGGTACTGCTGAATTCATGGTAGCTATTATTGCTTCTAACACAACACTTCAAAGACTAGACTAAATTGAGATATATTCTGTCAGCAGTCAAGAAAAAATAGAATATTCGATTTCAAGGAATAAAAAAGTCGAAGTTCACAATATCAGACATGCAAAGAGCAATGGATCATAAAATTTGAATTTTCAACTTACTACAATTAGTTAGAAATTCCAATTTAAAGTAAAATATGACAAAATTTTCTAAAAAAAAGCACAGAAAAAGTCATCCGTTCAGTCATGCTTACCTCAGATGACCAAATGGCTTCGGGCTGATCACACTCTGATTCATCCAGAACATCAAAGAATTCATCTGCAGCATCATTCAGTTGAACGAATGATCCACTCAAGGTTGGTATTGAAGGAGATTGAATGGTCTCTCCCCTGATCCCTCCATTACTGCTATTTCCATCTCCAGACAGCACTTCCACCTTAATTTCCTCTTGTTCAATACGTGGCAACGTCGCAATCCTCATTAGTTCACCTGAGGAGAAATCAGAGCATTGGTGGTTTCCAATTTTTGCTCGAAACAATTCCCTCAAGGCTGCAATAAATCAATGACTTGCGCTAATCAGTTATGCAATCAAAAAGTCATTTATGAAGGGATAGACAAAAGGGCATCTATCACTGTTTCAAGGCTGTAACATCACCTGCAATTCTTCCAAGCATCCGAATTGTAATGCTTTTTGCAGAAGAGGAAAATAGATAAGACTTCCAAAACTTCCAATCAATTGCAAGCATGTGCTTAACAACAGATTGCTTTCCTCGATTTATAGGGGATATAACATACCCTCCACCTATAGGAGAATAAGCAATTGGCATAATTAAATTGTACCCATCCATCTTAAGGCATCATAGTAAAACTAAGAAGCATCAAAAGTTAAATGCTAAGCATACATTACTTTTAAGGCAGGCTCTAATATAGCCCCTTTGCGGTTGACATTTTTGGTGGAACACAGAGTGGTATAAAATAACTGACAAAATAAAAATTCAAGAATTAGTACATGCAATAAGTTCCACAAACAGATATGATGTTACTTGCATGTGTATCATGACACAGATAGCAGCAAGTAATTTCCAAATATTTTACCATATGTTCCATCATCTTCCCTCCTCCAATAACGCCTTAGTAGCAGGTCTCTTCTTCTCATTCCCCTGAAGTGAAACAAAAGCCAACAAGGCAAAAAAAAAAGAAGAAATTGGTATTTTTTATTGACGAGCTCACAACAGAATGAATGCAATAAGATATATATCTGACCAAGGCAGCCAATCACTCTTTAATTCTTTGTGTATAATATCATTATGCCCATCCAAATGTTCAACAACACTGCCTGCTGAAAAGCAGAAGTCCCATCTGCAAAAACGAAGTTATATTTATGAAACAAGGCCATTTTGTTAATGAAATAGGAAAAAAAATGCAAGTAAAAAAATTAATTTTCCCTCTCCTTAAACCTCCGTACCAATGAGGGTGCATCATCCCCCACCCCTCTCACTCAGCAAACGATGAAAAAATTTCATTATTACACCACCAATCAAGCTATCCTAAATATCTCCGCAAGTGAAAAGAAGAGGCCACGAAAAAAAAAAATATATATATATATATAAGAGGCCACGGAAAATATCCCAAGCTACCAAAAATGATAAATTTCTGTCATTATCGCAAGAGAACCCATTTACTTCTAATGCAGATTCAAAGGCATGCTGGACAGCAAGAAGCTTAAAATAATGCACACAGAACCATTCTTACTCGGATCTTGATGGACCAAGAGAAAAAACTGTCTGAAAAATAGCCTCAGATGGTGCATCAACAACACCTACTGCCATTATAGCCGGGTGATCATCCCAATACTAAGCAAAAATAGTATATTCAGTACTGATCCATGCACTTCAAGAACTGTCTTATAGAGATCAAATTAACATGTTACCTTCTCATAAAAGTCACCATCCTTAGCCTCCTTAAAAAGCCGCAAGCCTAAATAAGATATGTATAATCATATATGGAACCTGAACGATCAAAGATTAAAACATGAAAATATAGTACCATTGTTGCATCCAAAAATAGTCCACGGAGAAGGTGCGATAACATCAGACGTCATTAAATCTGAGTGGATGGAGGAAAAGGCAGTCCAATCTAGCAGCAAGATTATGATAATAACATCAGTTTGCAAAAAAAGCCATAAGAAATTATTCAAAAGCAAAACACAGCCGTATGTTGAAACATACAAACTTCTATACTGCTGAAGAACTATTCCCCCGGATCCAAACCTTTCATCAATTAAGTATGAGAATAATTGGCATATGGTCAATTGAGCTTTTACAACGTATTGAATCAACAAAAAAATATTCATTTAACGAAGTAAATTGGGTGATATCTCCATGTAATTAGATCACAAAAAATATAATAATAGAATAAAAATTTAATAATACCAAATATAATTATTTTCATAATGTACAACAAATTATACAAATTCATTTTAAATTTTAATAGTTCATAGTCAAATTTATCATTGATACATAGACTATATATTGTGAGGCATAAAGGTAGGAATTCTTGTATATCTTGAACTTTTATTACCTTGATTTTTTCAAAAAGCACTTTCTAGCAATTGTTTTAAAATGCTACCAGAAAGCAATTTCTCACCACCATTTTGAGTGGTTAACTCCTAATATAATAGCTGACAAAAAAAATAAATCCAAACAACACTTTTCGCATAGAATATCAATAGAAAAATCTAACCAAGGGGCCCGAAAATGCATGATATCGTTTATTCCTACAAACAAAATGTAAGTTGATTATGTTCAATTTCCAATAGGATCATATGGATGTGCTTGCATTTGGAAAATGGAAGTTCCGCTTCATCAGTAAGCGTGGAGGGCATCACAGATTAACCCCATGAACTCACAACGATGATGTTTTTAGTTGTACCTTCTTTGTTGGCATATTGAATTCATGACTGTTTTGGTTATTGTGTTATGGGATGATTAACTATGATTCTTAATTGTGGATGTTGAGGCGAAGACCCACAGGCCATTCCTGACAAAGATAGCAAGTTATCAAACATGATGGAGTTGGTACCCTATTGCTTCATGGTGGGAATGTGTTTCCAATGTGACTGATGGAAACACCACTCCAACCGTCGAAGGCGAATATGGATGAGATTCTATGTGAGCTCATTATGGCTCAGAACTGTAATCATGCCATTGATTGATTAATCACCAACTTAGGTTTTACTTCTGCTACATGGAATCATCATATGTTAATAATATCAACCAGAAAAGTTTTGTGTATGCATACTAAACCTTAATGGGTAGCATATTGTAGATAGACCTCTTATCTAGACTAAATATTTGATAGATAAACATTGCATTTTTTATGTATGTTAATTAATAATGAAGATAGAATACAAAAAACATCGATTATTAGTTATGGGCTTTAAGATTGCAAAGATTGTAAAGTTATTCCGAGTGAAAATTTATGTACCCAACATCAATTATTAATTTTAAACTTTAAGATAAAGGGGCATAAAATAAAAAATAATGTAAAACATTTTTTTAGGATTAGATGTGGGCATTTAAAGAATATTATCAAAAATATTTTTAGAGTAAGATTTTAGATCTTAAGATTTTGTCTGTGCATGAGGATGCTAATGTTATGTGGGAAAAAGTGGCTAGTGATATTAAGAATATTGCAAAAGATGTGCTTGGAGTATCAAAGGGAAAAGCTCCTAATAGTAAAAATAGTTGGTGGTGGAATCCAATTGTGCAAGAAAAGATTAAAAATAAGAAGATATGTTATAAAAATTGGTTTAATTTTAAAAATTCTGATAATTGGAAAATATATAAAGTGGCTCGTAAGGATTCTAAGAAAGTAATATGCGATGCAAAGACATTAGCTTTTAGTGATTTATATAATAGATTAAATACTAAGGAGGGAGAAAGATATATGTATAAGTTAGCCAAACAAAGAGATAGGAGTAGTAAGGATTTAGTTCAAGTGAAGTGTATTAAGGATAAAGATCAAAAAATACTTTTTTTAGAAGATGATATTCAACAAAGGTGGATGAAATATTTTGTTAAACTTTTTAATGAAGATTGTGAAAATAAAATTGACTATAGTGACCTTAGCACCCTAAATGAAAATAAAGATTTATGATTTTATCGGCGTATTAGTAAAACTGAAGTTAGAGAGAATTTAAAGAAAATGAATGGTGGAAAAGCTGTTAGACCTGATGATATTCCAATAGAGGTGTGGAAATGCTTAGGAGATGAAGGAATTTCATGGCTTACTAAACTTTTTAATACTATTTTGAAGACTAAAAAGATGCCAGATGAGTGGAGAATGAGTGTATTAATTCCTATTTTTAAGAATAAAGGCGATGCACAGGATTGCACGAATTATAGAGGTATTAAGTTAATGTGTCATACTTTAAAATTATGGGAGCGAGTTATAGAGCATAGGTTGCGGCGTGATACTAATGTTTCTCAAAATCAATTTGGATTCATGCCGGGTAGGTCGACTATGGAAGCCATACATTTATTAAGAGGTTTGATGGAAAAATATAGAGGAAATAAGGAGGATCTACATATGATATTTATTGATTTAGAAAAAGCATATGATAAAGTTCCAAGAGAAGTGCTATGGAGAGTTCTTGAAAAGAAAGGAGTCAATAATGCTTATATTCAAATCATTAAAGATATGTATGCAGGAGCTATTACTTGTGTTCAAACACAAGGTGGATTGACCAAGTATTTCCCTATTTCGGTTGGGTTACATCAAGGATCAGCCTTAAGCCCATATCTATTTGCTTTAGTCATGGATGTTCTCACTAGACATTTGCAAGAGGATGTACCTTGGTGTATGCTTTTTGCCGATGATATTCTTCTTGTTGATAAGACTAGAGAGGGAGTTGAAGGTAAACTTGAATTATGGAGGTCAACCTTAGAGTCTAAAGGTTTTCGCTTGAGTAGATCTAAAACAGAATTTGACTTTTAATATGACACAATAAAGGATTCATGTAGTCGACCCCACGCCCATGTAGTGGGATAAAGGCTTGATGTTGTTGTTGTTGTTGTATAAAATACAAAAAACAAGTTGTGAACTTGTGCTTGGCCTTGGTGGTTGGAGTTAGAATATTTCATTCTAATTTTTGGTTTGCAAATCCACTTTTTATTTAGTTTTATATGATTATAATAAATTTATTGACTTGGGGTGATAATATTCATTCTATCGAAGCTATGCAATATCAATTGAGGTGAACACAATGATTAATTTCCTTGTTCTCAGTTTTTTTTTTTTTTTTTTTTTTTTTTTTTTTTTTTTTTTTTTGTTATTTGTTTTTCTGTTCTAATATATTGTTTTATAGGCTGCACTGGGATGTTGTAGAAACACAAGTCAAATTTGATCTTTGTCCAATATCGATTAGAACACTATCAAGCTCCAGTCCTAAGGCAAAAATCAATTTTAAGTTAATTTCAGACTTAAAATATTGCTTGAATATGGTTCAGGTATACTTGCAATGCATGTAAAGGAGGGACTTCTTTGTCGTAGGAGGAAATCAGCAATCTCCTTCTATATACGTCTTAATAGTTTAGTGTTCATTGTAAGACCAAAGTTGTATATTCCCTTTAACATCATTTTAATGCATACACAATTTCAAAAAACTTTTTAAGATAATTTGGTCATGATAATTTGATTATCAATAAGATAGATCAAATTTTTTCAGTGGATGATCTAATCCAAGAGAAGATAATTGTGATTTTACAATGTATAGACTTTCAAGACTTGGATTTAATTACATGGCCATTGCTATCCATGCACAAACTCTGAAGAAGTAACCCGATAAAAGATTGTGAAACAACATTTAGAGTGTATTTCATGATTTCAATTAGTGAACTGCACACATGTTTTTTCACAAGTTGGATAAATATTTAAATTAATAATGGAATTGATGAAAATAGAGACATAATTATCATATTGTATATCACAATCAACAATGTGATCTTGAGTTTGAAAAATACATAACACATTGGCACAAATTCTCCTTTTAAGATGAAAAAAGTCAACTAAAAAAACTAATATATAAACAAATATATTACATAAAATATAACTTCTGTACAAATACATGGTACAATTAAAATTAGTTTCTATTGTACCAAAATCTACTTCACGTAGACAACAAATCAAAGAAATTTGAGTAAGCAAAGATTTCAATTTAGGGTTGTTGAAGTCAGTCAAAATCGACTCCATATTAGAACTAAATACATGATGGTAGCAGCATGCTTGTACAAGATAATAAAACAATCATGCATAATCACAAACCTGTGACATGAAAGGAATCCACTTACCAATGGAGCGCATTCGACTTCTACCTCTACTCAACCTGTCACATTATGAAAGTCTTTATAAGAAGGCAGAAAAAATTGATAGCTGCAAATAAGCTAGCTGCATAAACAATTCTGATAAACAATGACATCAGGATCTGCTAAAATTCCCTAAAATCAATGGAACTTCGTGAAAATAGGCATAACAGTGCACAAGCTCACAAAATCATTTTTTTGGATATCACAAGAATTATGTGATTGAAAATCATATAAAGTTCAGTTAATCTATATAATACAAGCCGTCTTAAATTGCTGATCTTTTCTTTGCAATGTCATCTCAACAAAAAAAATGTTTAAGTCCTGACTGCAACAGGCCTCTAGAAGTTTAGATGTTAAGATATTTAATATTCAACAGTTCAAATGCGGTTTGCAATTATTTTCCAACATAGGAAGTTTGTTAAAAAATTAATATGGATGCTGTACCAGTAACTAAAATATAGTTTGAACCAAAACGGGACAAAAGAAAGTTAAGAATTATATGTGCGAGTTAAAAAATGGGCATTCGGAGGGATACAACACAAAAATAGCCGGTTGAGAATAAATCAATAAGCACTCAATTAATCAATAAGTATTAAATATTATGTGAGATGTTGGAAGAAATAAAGAAGCAAAGAAAATAATTTGTCCTAGTAAGGGAAATCAAAGTTGCTAAACGACCTAAAAGATTGCCATTTTCTTTTCGAACGAGACACCAAAACATTCTCTGCTTTAATTGGGCATTCCTGTAGGTCAAAAACCAGGACAAATCATACAAATGAGACAAACAATTAAATAAATAAAAAAAAGTCAAAAATAATAAATAAATAAATAAAACCTTCAGTGCTGCCTCCATTAAGGCTTTTATCCACCTAGCTGCTTCTTCTGAGCTCCTGGCACCCAACTACCAGGTATGAATAAAAAAAATCACATTAGAATCAACAAAATCTACAATGGGACCAACAGCAAGTAGTGGATGAACTAATATCTAATAGATGTTTTGTGATGCTTATAGAATTCACCACACCTTAAGCTGATCATTGTGATTAGATGCATTATATAAGGTAAAAATAAAAAGAACCTGCAAGAAAGGCAAATATTTTTATTATAAAGTCTGAGAAAGGTTGTTAAATTGAAAATTGAGCTGATTACAAATTTAAGTTCGATAACTAATCATACATTTTTATGTATGTTCAGCCTCCCATTATCTGTCACACGTATACAGGAATCAAGAAGTGCACTTCGAAGAGGATCCTGCAAATACAGAAGATATAGATGATTGTTTTTGCCTGGCCATTTGTTATGATAATTAGATTCATGATTTAACTGAAAAGAAAATCAGCACCTACTTAATCGAACAACCATTTACAGTAAAGCAAAAATGTGAAATGAACAAAAATAACAACATCAAGCCTTTGTCCCACTACGTGGGGTCGGCTACATGAATCCTTTTTCGCCATTGTGTCCGGTTAAAAGTCAAATTCTCATTTAAATCTAATAAAGAAAAATCATTTCTAATAATGTGAAATAAACAATCAAAATATAAATAATTGATCACAAACACAGACAAATTTGCTGACAAGTTATGACTTCTAGACTTATTAAGTAAAATAGCTCATAAATAAGCCTTGACTTTCTAGGATGGAAGAAAACCTTTTTAATTGATGATAGATGGAAGAAAACAGCAAGATACAATGGATCCTCAATATGAGAGGAGGATCCGATTCTCCCAATCTCTAGCCACCGGCTAGAGCCCAAAACTCCCTAAGAACAAAATAAATTCATTAAAACGCTCGATACCCTAAGACCCAAAACATGCTTATATCATTGATGCAATCTCAACCCTACATGTTGATGCAACATTAATTGGCAAGGAATTTAACCATCGTTTAACTCTATTGTGCATTTCTGCAAAGGATCTCTCATGCACATTCTCGAGAGCCTTCTTTGAACCGTTGATAGACATTTAACTCTCATGATTGCCTCCAAAGACCATTTCTCATTTGAGAAAAAACATTTTCCTTCCCCCATCAACATGGAGCTCAATAGCTTCTCAAGCAAACCCCCAACACCTCATTCAAGATCAGTAAATGCAAAATCTCACCAAATCCAATGAGCCTAATGTTAGGAAGTGCGTGCATAAATCAAATAAACTTTGGCTGAAATTTTAATTTCAGCGCTACCAAACTCAAATCACAAGAAGAACTAATAGGAGAAACCCAAGAAAACATTTTTAATTGATGATAGATTGAAGAAAACAACAAAATACAATGGATCCTCAATTAGAGAGTAGGATCCAGCTCTCCCAATCTCTAGCTGCTGGCTAGAGCCAAAAACACCCTAAGAAAAAATTAAATTTAGCAAAACTCTCAATACCCTAACCTTAGGAAAACATGCTACTTAAAAGCATACAATAATAATAACAAAACATACAATAACAATAATGAAAAAAAACATACAATAATAAAAGAAATCTATAAATGGCCCTCCATTTAATTTTTTCCTCCTAAACAACCTTAATTACTTCCAAAATGATGGTTGCTGGACCCCGCGATTTGGAGGCAGAAACTAGGGAGGCGAAGCCTGTCCGCCTTATGTATTAGGCGGAACCAATCCTCCTTGAGGCCGGACCCTCCTAGACCGGTTGGACCGGTCTATCCTAGACCGGTCTAACAATAACTCCCTCTCAAAGACCCACCTTGTCCGCAAGGTGAAAAGATAACACCCTTCTCAATTCCCTAGTCATTACAAACGGTGAGAACCTGAAGAATTCGGTTCTTACATTTGTGACACGGTGTATGACTGTCCTCACATCTGAAATAGAACCCCATCGCCCTCTTCTCCTATAACTCTGTTTTTGTGAGCTTCTTAAAGTTATACCCAGGTCTTCCTCCTTCAGTCTTCTCCTTCGGGGTCTCCGAAGACTACCCAGTGTCGGCTCCTTGGATGCCAAAAAGGTGGTGGTAATCTATACGAACCTCCTGAGCTACTGCCTCAAGTCCCTCTCTCCAGGTTCCTTTGATCAACCACTAACTAAGCTAGCTCCATAGCCTCTCCCAAATCACGAGGCCTCATCACTCTAATTGTTGCTCAAATCCCTGGCTTGAGCCCTTTCATAAAGTTCCTCTCAAGTACAATCTATGGAAGCTGGTCCAATCGACTAGCCAGGTGCTCAAACTACCACGATATTCCACCACCCTCCCCTCCTACATCAGGGTTAAGAACAGCTCATAGAAGTCTCCTAGTCAACTAGTTCGGAAATGTTCCAACAAGTAGTCCTTAAACTCCCTCCAGGTTCATATATATGGGTCACCTCGTATCCCTCCACTAGTACCATGATAAAGCTTTACCCTCCAAGCACACCCCGGCTGCCGTCAGTCTCTCCTGCTACGTCAACCTATTGACGGTAAAGTATCTTTCCACCTTGTAAATCCACCCATGGGCATCATCTCCCTCAAAAATATCATCTTCAGCTTCCTCACTCTCGAATCTCCTTAATTCCTCCCGTTTCCTCCATAATTCTCATTCCCCAAGGGGTGGTTCCCCCAAAATGTCACAATCATCCCTTCTAACACTCGCACCCAAACCTTTCATTAAATTCCCACCTCCGCCTTTCAAATTTTTTGATTATAATCAACCCCTCCACTTTCAAATTCAGCACCCATTCGGTCATAATTAGCCCTTCCCCTTTCAAATTCCGCTCCTCTTCGTTCATGTACGACCTCCTCACGCCTCTCCCCATACCCTCTACCCGACTCCTCCCTAGTAATAAGCTCTAGGAGAGGCATTCTCTCTTCTCCCCGAATCTCCACCTCTTGATCTTCCCTTCGCCTTATCGTATTAGGGTTTTCCCCAATTCCTTGGTTGTCAGAGGCTTCCCTCATCTCTGACGACTTTATTTTAGGTTGGCCCTCGAACAACTTCTTCAACATCTCCTCCAGGATGGAAAAATTCTCATCCATCTTCTCACTAATGGCTAAAATTTGACTTTTAACATCTGAAAGTTGAGTTTGGATGTTTGAAATTTCTTCAATTGTTCAATCTCCCCTTTTAACACTTCTACCTTTCTTTCTACCATAGGTACCCGAATTTAGACTCCAATAGTAAAAAAAAACAACTTTGATGTGAATATGGCCTCCAAACAGAAAAAATTGAAAGATCAGAGAAGAAACGAAGCAGAAATCAACGAGGAAGAGAATTTTCGCCCAAGAAATTGCTCTGATACCTTTGTTAGGAAGTAATTGTAGAAATCAAATATGTTTTGGCTGAAATTTTAATTTTAGAACTCCCATACTCAAATCCTAATAAGAACTAATAGGAAAAACCCAAGAAAATCTTTTTAATTGATAATAGATGGAAGAAAACAGCAATGTACAATGGATTCTCAATTGGAGAGGAGGATCCGGCTCTCTCAATCTCTAGCTACCGGCTAGATCCCAAAACTCCCTAAGAACAAACTAAATTCAGCAAAACTCTCGATACCCTAACCCTAGGAAAACATCCTATTTAAAGCATGTAATAATAAATAAATAAGTATGCAATAATAAAAGAAATCTCTAAACAGCCCCTCCTTTAAATTTTTTCGTCCTAAACCACCTTAATTCCCTCCTAAAGGATGGTTGCTGGACCCCACAGTTTGGAGGCGAAAACCAAGGAGGCGAAACATGTCCGCCTTTTGTAACAGGCAGAACTTGTCCGCCTTGAGCCTGGTCCCTCCTGGACCAGTCCATCCTGCACTGGTCTAACACCTTACAACTAATTAATAACCACATTCATTTCTAAGCTTCAATTAGTACCTCTAGCAAATTAATGTGTTTCAATCATTGGTCATATTACATCAAGATGTCAGAATTACTAACTTTTGAGGTTTATAGCACTCAACTAAGCATCAATATGTCAATCAAGTAACCATCTTGTGATCACTCATATAAGCCAAAACGTTACATGCACAACTCCACCAAAAACTCTCTAGTTCTGAAGCTACATGCAAGCAAATTGGTACACCAGTAATGCTTGTAGAAACTATATGTTTCAATAGTTAATCATCATTCCTATCTTTGGTTAGTCAGTGCTGAAGGCGTTACAAATACCCCATCACCAACTCATTATAGAGGTTACACGCACATGCATACAAATACAAGGTTAAGCAATTACACACACTTGCTTTCAACACTCTCACAAGCATTTACTAAATTCTGAGGTTCTTGGCTAGAGTTGAAGTTGTTCTCAAACTCCTAAAAGCTCACTGATGTTCTCTTTGAGTTCATTAAATTCATAGGCATTTTACTTTATTTGCTTCTCCTTCTTCTAACCTATTGTAATATCCCTCCTATGCACTTTCTTCTCAAATATATTTTTCCTCTATTTTATTTTTTTCTCTTCTCAGGAAGGCCTAATTCAAGCTCAGCAACATGTCAATTGTCACTTGTGATTCATTCAGAAAGTGTATATTTCTTCTTGAATGCTCTGAAGGAAGGAAGATCTTCGAACAAAACCATCATAAATTTGTCACTTCTTTGTGCTTTATTATTTATTTATCTCCTCTTACAGTACCCGTGGTATGGTACTTATCCAATCTTTTCTCTCATAAAAATTGCCTAGCACGCTCTCTCTCGATCCTCTCAAGAAGAGTTGGTTGTCCACTATTCACAAATGATTAAAGAAGAAAAGCTCGAAACATGAAGCAAGAGACCTTAGATTACAAAAGAAGAATAAGAAGAAAAGAAAGATAATAAATTTTAGGAAGAGTTATTTTCATGAATCCTTAAGATCTTAACTTGGTATGATATTCAAGGAAACATGCTTTTCGAATGTCAAGCAAATGTATTTTTCATCATAGCTGACAATCACATATATAAACATAATAAGTCTCCTCACATAACAATTCAAAAGACTTAGCTATAAGTTAAAGACCCATCAAATCTTAGGACTCATCAATGGGGACCAACAACAACATGCATAGATATGATAAACATCAATGAAGAAAAATAAAAATAAAAAAGATTAACCTACATAAGGCTCATCTAATCTTTTTTCACCGTAGTTCTAAAACTAGTCTATTGCTAATAAGATTACCCAATGGCTAAGCCAAAAAAAAAAAATTTAATGGAGGCGCAAATTGAAAGTTTACTATAGAAAATATCAAATCAAAGAGGCATATTAATATATATCTATTATATAAAAAGATATGTTAAAAATTTCAGACAGGGCACATAACCTAACATGCCCCTCTTAAACCTGACCTTGAGATTACCTACGCAATAACTTAGGAAAAGAAGTTGGCAAGCTATTGCAAATGTCATTTTCTTCTCAGAAAATTTATTGCAACTTTTCGGCTGATTCATTATGTATGTACTGCAGGAGGACAGTTATTTTACTTAAATAGAATCAAAGATAATGAGTTCAAATGAATTGATCAGCAGTAAGCTAGTAAGAATGTCAAAGTTTCTTTAGCAGGATCTTCTATAGCTCTCCATGAAATAATAGTTACTGATTATAGACTTATATATGATCTTCAAATAAAATGGTTATCAGTAACCAAGTTGCAAATATGTCTATATTTCTTTCCAAAAAAAAAACTTAAATTTCACACAAAACGTATCCCACAAATACAGATCCATGATATTGCGCACCTTCAAATTGCAGAGGAAATAATACCAATTTTTTTCGATGGCATCATCATCACATCAAAAATTCACGCAAGATAGTCATTTGCAAGTAGCTTGAAACAGAAAGCAGATTAACTAGACGCTATCCTATCATCGGACAAAACAAGGAAAAAGAGAAGAGGAAAAAGAAAGGAAAGCCGGTTAATTAAAAATATAACGAAGCAATGAAACGCAAAACAGATCTACAAAAGACAGTGTTCAGAGATCTTCTATCTCGGTTTCTTCTGACTGAAGTTATCGTTCTGGAGAAGAGAGAAAAAATTAAACGAAGCAAAGAATTCCAAGAAACTCCGACCCACCTCTCTGTTTGAAGAGGGAACATATTTGAAGCAATTGAGGGCGTTATTTTCGAGAACGAAGTAGCGCTTCCTGGAGTACTGCAGGCCAAGGCGATTGAATCGAATAAGGTATAGCCAGCCCTCCATTTTCCGACCATCCTGTGGCTGCGATAAACCCATCTCAGATCCCCCCCACCAAATCCTAAAATCTATGAAAGCTAGAATCTTTCACGCTGATTCCTCCACCCTCCTAGCTTCCCGACAGAGTTGCCGCTTCCCCTTGGACGATCGGCTCTACGTACAAAAACAACACCGCGGAGGGAGATGGTTAGAGAAAAGTAAGGAGGCAATGGTGCCCTCTGAATCTATGGCACCAAAGTGCGGGCTCAGATTAATGAAATGGAAGTAAACTGAGTTCTTCCCCAGCTCCGCCCTTCTCCTCTCCCCCAGTTCCCCCTTCAATTTATACTTTGAAAAAATAGAACAGAACAGGAAACCCATACTCTCCCTGTCGCTTTCTCTCTCTCAGCATTGCTGATCATTTATCAATTGTTAATATTCTGCCCATTTAACGAGTAAAAGAAGAATAAAAGTGACAGAAGATGCGGTGATTGATTAGGAAGACGGTGGTCCGCCCGCCGGTCTGATGGGCCGCAAGTACGATTAATTGTGCTTAGGCCTTAATTTTCTTGCCATAAAAAGAATGAAATGACTAATAATTTAATTAGGGCACTTTTAATGAGTTTAATTTTAAATAATAATTAAAATTATATTTGATTATAAAATTTTTATTATTTTTTAAAAATTAGAATATTTTTTTATAATTAAATCTATTGGAGTATGTTAAGTTTAAGAATGTTATTTTCATTTAAGAAAATTAAAAAAAAAATTAAAGATTTGCCATTTATGTAATAAAATGTGACAGAGAGAACACCATATCACCGGCAAGGTGATCATGATATTCTATAAAGTTGTTTGAATGCAAAAATGAGTTTTAAAAAATTGTTTATGTTCCGAGAGATCTTTTCTCTTCTTATGGGAATAAGATGGAGTTTATGTTAACCTGAAGTTACAAGTTCCTCATAAACATAAGCCTTTATGATTTATTACATCATAAGATAGGTGAATCTCTTGAGAACACTCTCAATTAAAGTTGTGGCAAATTTTTTCTTATATTTCAAAATTTAAGTCAATGATATGATTTATTGAATTTTAAAATGAGATTTTTTTTTATTCAATGGTTATTTCTAGAGGCCAAAGGATAAAGAGTATAGAGCACTAGTACTCTAGTTTATCCTAGATTGGGCTTCAGTGTTGTTGAATGAGATTATATTATTTGAGTTGACATTTTATTATATAGTTAGGAATATATTATCGAAGGATGAGGACTTATGATTTAAGGATAATCTCAGAACATATATATATGTTGAATCACTACAAAGTAGTGACTCGAGCCTAGCCTAATGAAATACACAATCAGTGAGGTGGGGCTTAAATCTTTGACTTTGATAAGAGTTTAAGAAAGCCTGATACTTTTGAATTTACATTCTCATCTGGAGTAGAAATGCTAGCTAAAATTCCACCTAATCGTTTAAAAACTCGTGTTTTGTTAGGCAAGCTTATTGACTACTCCTATTGAGTAGTTTATCTATTCTCTAATTTAAACATCTTCCTTTTAATTTTAAACATTTATATTATAACTCCGAATATTTTGAATAATTAATTTCTTTTTTTTTTCCAGGATATCATTAGTTCAAGGTTAATAATGATGTACATTACATATATACTTGATGAATTAAATCCAATTACTTATAGGCTTTAGAATGGGTCAATTTGACTAGGCTCGAAATCAAGTTTAGATTATTATTTGAATTGGCTTTAAAAAGTATACAATTTAATTATGAGAAAAAAATTAGAATATTTTAATATGATTTATATCAAAATAAAAATAATAATAAATTTAAGTTTAAATTTATAAGATAAATATGTAAAATTAGGATATGCTTAAACATAAATAAAAGTCAATATTATCAATTAATTTTATCTAAATAAAATTTTAAATATCTCTAAAGATGCTAAAACCATGATAGCATTCTCATTAATGAGTTGATGTAAATGAAATAAGATATCTACAATATATATCACTTTCATAGGACAATTCATAACAAGAAAATTTTAAATTAAATTGCTTAGCAACACTGCCTCCACATAAAATGAAAAAAAAAAAAAAAGAGGGAGAGAAAATCATCAACAATCATATAGATAGTATGACATCCTTCCTTTTAGGGCACAATTAAAGCATTTTGAACATCAATTATTTCTCTTCTTCTTAGGCTTCGTTTGGGGAGAGATTATTAGGTGCGGAGTGCGGGCGGGGAGAACAGTCCGCACAAGCATTGGGTACCTAGTGGTACCAGCACTCGGTACCCTAGGCTTGTGCGGATGGTGCGCACTCCGCACATAATAATTTTTCTCATTTATGACAACTTTCTTATTATTTTCTAAAATAGCTTTTTAATATAAAAATTTGTTGAAAGCAACAAAGAAACAAATGAATTTTGAGTTGAATCGCTGAACTCACTCGCTCATTACCTCATCTTTCTTTACAGGATAAATTATTCTATCTAAGCGGAGGCTGGACGCTGAACGCCGTCTGGAGATCAATCAGAATGAGCCACGTCAGCAGTACCGAACGAATAGGTGATGTGGCGTATTCTGATTGATCTCCGGATAACATTTAGCATCCGCACAGAATAATTAATCCCCTTTCAAATTAAAATGAGGGTTTGCCACTATTATTAGCGGCCACATGATTGTACCTTCATTTGCACTTAAATAGAAGGAACAAAGTCATTGAAGAGTAGACACACCGCTAGTTATTATTGGCATGTTCTGCTAATAATATCTCACGGAAGAAAAAAAGATTTTTTCTGTGGCGAGAGATCTCCACAATCTTATCGAGATTTTTTAAATCAGTTTCTCAAAGCAAATTCATGTGAGGTACGTTTGAGACTGCTACAATATTTTATAGTTATTTTAAGGAAAATAAGTATTTTATAAGCTGTTATAGAAAGCAGCTTCTTTGCAAATTTTTTTTTAAAAAATAGATAAATAAATTGTTGCGTGTTAGAAAATACGCGGCGGTAGAGTTTGTAAATTCGCGTCTGAGCGTTGTACGTAAGTTTAACACACAAACAGGAAAAGCTGTGATTATAATCTTAAAAGCAAAGAAATAAAAAAGTTATATCAAAATGAAGACTAAAACTCTATTTGTTATGAAAAAAATGAGAGAAAAGATAAATATATTTTACATAACAATTTTATTTTTTGGGTTTGATTTGAATGTAATTAAGAGATGATTTTAAAAAATGTGGATGTTATATAAATATTTTCCTATCTAATTCCAATACAACATCATAAGAAAATTTTGTAAAAATGATCATTGTGACTCACAAATCTTTTTTAATAGATTCGGGCTTCATTTGAGGAGAAGTTATTATGTGCGATCATCGGACCTTTCGGAGGACAATCAGGGTGCACCACATCACCCAATACACAGCGGTACACAGTGAATTGGTGATATGACACATCTTGATTAACCTCCGGATGGCGTCCTATCACCGCGCGTAATAATTTCGTTCGTTTTAGACGATTTTCTTACTGGTTCTTAAAGCTATTTTTTAATATAAAAAATTATTATTTTTTTACTAAAAAAATAACTTTAAAAAATAGTAAAAATATATTCCAAACAAAATATTAATTTCCTTATTTTCTCTAAACGAACTTTTATTTGGTCAGGTGACCTGACAAAGTTCTACGTTCAGACGCCAGTAAAATAGTGTCACACGTTCTTACTCTTTACCGCGCGGCCCAACAACCCGACCAAGAACGGCTCCGGGATTGCTATGTTCGCGTATTGCTAGGTATTACTCGGTATTGCTAGGTATTGGTCGATTTTGCTTGGCAATAACGAGAAATATCATTATGTGAAGACCAATACCGAGCAATACCGCAATACTGAGTTTTGCTAGGTATTGCTAGGTATTGATCTTGACAGAGCGATATTTTTCATTATTGTCAAGCAATATCTAGCAATACCTAGCAATACCGAGTAATACTAGCAATACACGAACATAATAATCCCGGGTTCCGGTCCGGGTCAAGTCGTCGGTCCACGCGGTAAATAATAAGAGCACGTTGTGACATATTATTAGCGTTCGAACGTAGAGCTATGTCAGGACACCTGATCTAATAATTATTCCTAACTGATCTAATAATTATTCCTAACTCTGTTTCTTCAAACTGAATAGGCAAAATGTACGCTGTCAGAGACATTAAAATAGAGTTAAGAGCGATGGGAAAAGGAAGTAGTTGCACATTAACTTCCTGATATTAAATTATTCATTATAACTGCAAAGAATGGGACTGTTATCCGTAATTGACTTCCTTATTTCCTTCATTTCTACAGCGACCTAAATAGAAATAAAATAAATAAAAAAACATTCAATATTCGGCATATATTTTTTCATCATAATAATATTCACAGTTTTATAATTTGTGCTGTGTATCATTATATATAAACACTAATCTCAACATAAATAAGAAGACTATAAGACTCATCCCTACCGTTGAATACTTTGAAATATTATTCCATAAGTTTTTCGCTATAAATTTTGTTGCACATATCGCTGAGATAATTTAGGACTTGTTTAGAACGGCAACAATATTTTGTAAATATGGTTTTAAATTATTATGTGGTGAGTAACATTTAAAAAAATTATTGTGAATATTATAAATATATTCTTTTAAAAATTTCGAAAAGTTGATTTCTTAAAGCTACCATACATTAGTAATCCTAATTATAAAAAATAGCTTCTAAGTCCTACCATTAAATTGTTTGAACTACAATTTGAAGAAATAAATCGCAAAAAAACTATTCCAAACATGTCCTAAGAGGTGTTATGTTAATGCAATAAGACTAAGTTTTTGTTTGGGAATGTTTTCTTGCTGCTTTTTAAAGCAGCTTTTTAGAACAAAAATTTTAATTTTTGTACTAGAAAGTTGCTTTAAGAAACAATAAGGAAGCCGTCCCAAACTAAGGCTTAATTTGGACGGCTTTCTTATTGCTAGAAAGTCGCTTTAGGAAGCAGTAAAAAAGATGTCTCAAACGAAGCCTAAAGGCATGTTTGATTCAATTTTCAAGTTGCTTTGTCTTTTAAACAACAACTATAATTTGATTTGGCTACTACTTTCTTGTTACTTTTCCACTATTTTTAAGAAATTTATGTGGTGAAATACTATTTTTCTAAAACTATAGTAGTACTGAAGTTGCTTTATCTGCAACAACTTCATAATCAACTTTATAAAACACTACAGCTGTCCCAAACATATCCTAAATCCATGTGATAATTTGAATTATATAATTTGATCATATGGGAGAATTATAATATTTAATTTAACCATCTTTTTCATATATTTATGCAGCATAATAAAATACACTAATGATGATGATAAGGATGATAATTT